CACACCGATATGATTCGGCCGTATAGAGATGCAACCTAAAGGGATAAGTAGGTTCAGCTGAGCAATTGTTTAGCGCAGGGAAGCATGTGAGGGTGAGCAAATTATGTAGGGTAGTTATGGGAAGATGCGGTGAAACATGGTGTTCTCAAAAATGGTGAATGTGGGGGTAAAGGCATGGTGGGTATGGGGAATAATGATTGGCTAACTGGTAATATTTTCCTGCGAACACTATTTGGTTGACATGCTTGTCTTGTACACATCTGGTTACGGCCTCGCTTCCCGTGCCTGGGAGTGACCGTGTGCGAGCGTGTGAGAATGCCGGTCAGCGTGATACTCAGGAACGGACCATGCAAATTGGAGCCCCTATAAGTTGAGGGGAAGGCATTGTTAGACTAGTGCAAATTTGGGAGGCATTCATAAGGCCGGATTCAGGCGCAGGAGATACATTTTGCACAGAACACTTGGCTTGCAATAAACGCAACATGTACATTGCCTACTGTATAAGTTGAAAACATAGCTGAAATTGAGACAAGTCGCACACATGCCCATAGTCCAATTCGAGACAAGCCAAAGCCACCCCAAAAAAATTGTAAGTTAGTGTTGCTGGACAAGAACATGAGTTGCTCAATGCGTTTGTCCCCCAAAGGTGCCTGCTAAGATCGCATGGTATGGCTAGTTACCAAGAAGCCACGTTTTATTACGGTATTTGTAGCCGGCATACACAATGAGTGCCGGGCCACCTACGCCACTATGGGCCATCGAGCATTGTTCCGTGCCCAATAACCTAGTGTATCCTCCTCTTGTGGGGCACCCAGCTCACACATACTCTAGTGTTCTGCTAAAAGCTCCTAAGCATGTTGTGCGATCAACCGTTGTGTGGCATCCATCAATTCACCGCCCACTATAGTACACACATGTTGGCTAGGCCCCGTGGCACAACTTGCCATTGGGCCCCGACCCCACCTTGCATCCTTGTCCTCCTCGGAGCTGGTGCCAAACGTTTTGTGTCCCGTGTGCTTCTCCCTCTTCTTGCGCACAGTCTGTTGTCCAATATGGGGTGGCAGGCTTGCTTGCCCTGATGTCTCTAACCGCCTAATGTCCTTCACGAATTTAAAGCACAACTCCAGCACCTCAGCCAACGTGTCCTCCATCACGGTATCCACCAATACAAGCTTCTCCCTAATAGGATTCAAAAGCTATATGTATCCTTGCAAGGTATGCTTCCAGGCATACATTGCACACAGTGTGTGCTACAAACACCATGCAACCCATCAACACTTTTGATATTTCATATGTGTTTGATTATATAAATGGCACCATAATGACAGACAATGCACAACACCAACAACACCATCACTAAGTGATTAGTGATGATCGCTCACCAATGAGATCCATCACAACCAAAAAAATATTTGCCAGACTTATATGGAGTCGCTAAGTGCCTCTTCTAGTTTGTGGTGCATATCACTGCAAAATGGTATTAACCCATGGTATGGTCCCTTGTTGTCCACGCTGCCCATGTCACAAAGAAAATTCCAGAGGTTCAATAGCTTGGTCGGAGACTTAGAGCCCGCGGGATATGCCTCCACCTCAAGCCTCTTGCTGCACCTCTTCACAGATGCCAAGGTCGGAGGAGGGCCTCTAGGTAGCCCCAATGTGTAATCTCAATGGGATTATTGTATTTGGGGTGCAGCCCAAACCATATGTCGATGGCCTGCCTCAAGCACACAACTCTTTGCAATATAAAAACGATACTATTCCATCGAATTTCTGCAGACCTGACCAGCTGGAGTACCCTCCATAGCTTGGGCCTCCTGCCATCTTCACCTGTCTCATCAGAGGACACCTCTGATGCAGACACCCCCTCCTCCTCATAAGAAACTATGTTATTATCCTTCCTTATTATTTCCACTGGCAGCCTACGCAGCTCAGCAGTGTTTTTTGCACTTGCACGCATGTGGTTGACCAGCGAGGAGACCCTACCATTATAAGGACATATACACAATGCTGATTAAACAATTCTTAATAGCAGTAGATATAGCAGCTGTAGCACACACGAATATACAACAACATTCATGCACATACAATAAAACACACCAAGACACACCAATATCATAACTTATCAGCCTATTGCATTGCACAACTTCCGGCAGCCTTCAATATGGATGGAGTGGATATGTAGGTGGGTCAGGCCATGGGCTACGATATTGTGGAGTAGGTGGCCGGCACAGCATGACCAATCTGCCATGCCGCCTCTAGGTTACTCCTCAACCTCATCTCCCACCAGCTCCCCTTTAATAGCCTGCCTGATATTGCTCCTGGTATCTGTTGCAGCCCCGTTGGCAGCCGCTAGTTTTTGGAGGCTCTGGGGTCACCCTGCCCTGTAGCTTGGCTATTGGAGGTCAGCCGGCCCTCTCTACCTTGGACGGTGGGCATATCCGGGGTAGTCGTTTTGGTGGTCGTGCGTTGGGCCCAATGCTCAATGGGCATCGTTCCCCAGAGCTTGCTATTGGCAAGAGGTGGCGGCACAGCTGGGCGGTGGTTCGCTAGCTCACGGGAGGCCAGAGAGTGGGCCAAAGAGAGCTACATGGATTCCATGCATGCGTGCACACATATCCGCATGCGCGATGCCCCATCGCAGGTCCATCGCGGTCACATCAAGACAAGATAATGCAAGTGCACATCCAGGAACATCGTCACCATCCACCATTCACCCATGATCGACCAATTGTCCTTGATTCCAAGCATCTAACACCCGACCCCCTGGCCCTAAGTACTGTAACTTCAGGAGGCCATATCTTCATCATTTCTTAACAGAATCGGGCGTTTAAATACGCGTTGGAACCAAGAAGCTCTAAATAGCACCCCCAAAAGGACGATCTTACCAAATATATAATTTCCACTGCAGAAAAAGGCAATAACTGTCTAACCCCAAGTAACCACACTACACCTTGGGACCCGTCCAAGCTCCCCCTTTCCGCTGCCAGCATGCCACATCCATGAACGATCAAGGTGCACAACCCCACAGCAGCAAGCCTGTGAAGCATGCCCTCCCCAAAGCAAATGCGCGCCGAGCTTATTAGTGTGGCTACCCGAGCATATGGTGACGCCGATGGGTGCCCATCGTGGGACCCCCTCTCCCTCCCCATGCTCCATTTCCCCTACGAGTTGCATTCTTCAGAGTGGCCCGGTCGCTTCTAGCAAGTGACCGTGGCATTTCCACGTTGCTGCCTTCATTGCGGCGTCACCGATGGAACGGAGCTGCGGGCGCGAGAGAGGCACCGGGGAGCCATGGATTCATGGCTACCTTCCAGGTCAGGTGGCGATCAATACCGTGGCCTCACCCGGACCGCGAGGAGCACTCCTGCTGCCGAGTTTTTGACGTCGAGAGTGCCTTCGGTCGTGGAGCACAATGGCGGCGGCGGGCAAAAAGTGGCCGGGCTCTGCAAGGAGCGCTTCGGCGTGAGGCTCGGGGCACTGTATAGGTGACGGATACTTTAACTCACCGGGCCGGGAGAATGGCTGAGTAATGCACCCTTGGCGCTACAAAATAAGCCCAATTGGGCAGAGTTAAAGATTGGATGAAAACAACATTGAAAGGCTCTCCTTTGCTGGGTTTTTCTGTGGTATGTGGGGGTTGGGCAAGGTCCCCCTGTTATCTTTCTTAAGGCTCCCATGTGCTAGCTCATTGGTGGAGGGCTGTTGTGGATTCTTTGTGAGGCATGTTCACCCAGGTTGAGGATTCCCTTGGGTAGAATCATACTCATTGACCCAATTCGGTGGGGACGTTGGGCTACATAGATGTGGCATGCATGCCGTGTTTAGCCACAGTGGCTTTGTCTCTTAGCTTAGTACACCAGGGTGTTTCGAAACACCCTTGAATTCAAGCTACCCGAACGAGCTGATTCAACCCACGGCTGGCGAAGGTACCGGGGCACCCAATGACGGAACAACCGCCGATTCTAGAGGAGCCACGGAGGAAACAGAGGTTGGTTGGACCTCCTCCACCCGAGCCTTCCCCCTAGTACTCTCGATAGAACCATAATAATCTGACCTCGAGGGGCTGGTAGGTGGTGGACCTAAGGCGGGTAGCAGCACAAGGAGGATAAAATGCAAAACACGTTAAACTCAGGAAACTTTCCTGATGATTTCTTATTAGAGGTGCTGATTGAAGTTGGCCAGTAAAGGTGTGTTTGTGTTTTTATTACTCTGAGTGGAATGATCGAGGGCATTGGGGACTTGGGGGCCTGCTCCTTTGTAAGTCTTCACCTAGTGCATGATCATCTCTGTGGGGGTCTCTTTTCTTTTGGGGGTCCTATGAAGATGAACATTGTTGAGTTGCATATTAGGTTTCTTGAACACTATTGAGAGGCACCGTAACCTCAGTTGTTGAAGCGTCAAATTTAAGGAAACTTGATTCATTGATTGACACACAAGTGCAACAACATCAGAATTGATTAGCACACTATAGGATTTGTCATGCCTGTTGTCACAAATTCCCCAGCTTCTGCACTGCCGCAAATAAGATCAGTTTCGCTGGAAAAAAAAAAGGTGACGGTCACGTGCGGTTCGTCAACAACCAATGACGGTCATGTACAGTTCATTGACAACTAAACCTGTAACGCGGGAGTGGCATCCAATCAGCGAGCACAGGATCCCAAACTCCCTTCAAACGCCGTGTACGGTGTACCGCCCACCCCGTACATCCCGCCCCTCTCACATTTACGTAACGATATTGTCCACACCCTCATTGCACACGTCGGCCGCTTTCTGTATCTCCGCGCCCGCTCCCCTCCCGAAGAACGTCCTCCCCGATCTTCCCGGCCTTCAGAACGCACGGGCCCGACAGCAGGCACACACACCGGGCCACACCCCTAGTGCCAAGACACCCCCGCTGGCTCGCGCTTTTTCTAGGGCATCGATCGGCCTTTTGAGGCGCCCGCGCGGCCGCTGACGACCCGTGCTGAGGGTAGGGAAGACCTGCGTGACGAGGGCCGCCCATGCGGAAGTTCTCGAGGGAGGCCTGGGCGGACGTCCCCAGGGACGGCGTCCTGGACGAGCTGGAGAGGACGATGGGCATGGTGCGCGCCTCCCTTCCGATCGCGCCGCGCTTTCCGCGCCTTAGTTCTTTTCAGCGGCGAATCGGTGAGAATCTGTGGCGAGAGGGCTGAGATCAGGTCCGTGCAGGATGGGCGTGGAGTGGGGAATTAATGGCAAGGGTGTGAGCGCCAAAGCTTGGTGCGTTCGGCCTTTCCAATCGCACCGCGCTTTCCGCGCCATTGTTCATTTTCCAGCGGCGAAGCGCCGCCAATCTTTGGCGATGGTTTGGAGATCAGGGCCCTGGATTATGGGTGTGGGATGGGGGCTTGGGTAATGGCAAGGGTGTGTGCGCCGCAGTTGGAGAGGGAGAAGCGCCGCAGCGGTTCATTCGCGGAGGAGCTGAAGACCGTCCGGGAGCAGAGCCTGGCCGCGGTGGGTGACCCCTGACGGCTTTCGGGATCCGTGGATCGTGTCGCGGCGCTGGCGGGGGCTTGGCCTGAGGCGCTGCGCTGGCTTTGCCGCAGCAAGCGCTGGTAGAGCAGGAGGAGGAGTACATCATCAGCCGGCTGGTGAAGCGCCTGGAGCAGCTCAAGCGCGAGAAGCAGATGCTCGCCAGCGAGGTGGGTGGGTGGGGGCTTGTTGGGTTGCCGAGCGTCGGTGCATCGAGATCCGTTGGGGTAGAGAGGCGGCTTGGGGCTGCGCGGGGGGGGCTGATTGGCTGGCCAAGCGTCGACGCTCTTGTTGGTTTTCGGAAACGAGGCCAGGTCAGCAGAAACGGAGTGCAGAGTCATGCCCTTGACGACCTGATGAAGGGTTGGCCGAGTGCGCGCCGGATCGACACCGATAATCAATGACACCGGTCGCCGCTGCACTTGATCCGATTGCAATGGTTTCCGATACTGGCAGGCGCTGCGTCTCGTGGGCCCTTGCACATACCCCATCTGCGGATTGGAGCCGTGTCAGTGACGGGTGGATGGGGGCTGGCGTCCCGTTTGGTCCGGGAGCCTGATGGCGGCGTGCGGCGTTGCAGGTGGAGCAGGAGGAGGAGTTCCTGACAAACACGCTGCAGAAGAGGCTGGAAAAGGTGCGGGCACCGGGGTGTACAGCCTGCGAGTGCTGATGTTGGAAATTGGCGTGTCTCCGCCCCATCCGAGTAGGTATCCAAACAGGCTCACAACAGCTGCACAGTGGGTGTATGCGTTGTCGTTGTGATCTCCAGATGACAATGCGTCATGGCCATATCAGGGGTTGACTTCGCCTCAATCGGAGGAACAGACATCGAATTGTCACGTTCTGACAGAAACAATCGCTGCAGATTTATTTCGACTCTGGATGCCATGGCTTAAATCAACGCGGGGCTTGGAGGCAAATGTGCTGCCCCGATTTGTACCCACCACACATCCAACGTCAATTGCCTGCTTCGAATCGCCTTTCCTCGTCCGCATTTGTACATCGCATCAAGGGTCCAGCTGCTGCCCTCATCCCAACAGAAGTGAATAAGCTTTGTGTTGCATCACAAGAAGATGAATCGAGACACAAAAGAAGAAGGACGACCAAAAGGATGACCAAAACATGTCTGTACGAAAATGAATGCATAATCTCAAAGAAGTCAGGTTTTGCACTCCAGGTTTGGTGTTGTCACTGCAGGGCAAGAGATGCATGACAAACCTAGAATTGGTTCCATGGTTACCCACAGCATCGTGGAAGCACAATGGCTTTCTGTTTGTGCCACACTGGCAGTGGTCCAGGATGTGATAGGGCCCTCACAGTCCTGTGGCTGCCTTTGCAACAGATCACCAAGGAGAAGGTGGACATCGAAAACCAGCTGGAGGTGGAGCAGGAGTACATAGTCAACAAACTCCGAAAGCAGGTTGCTGCATAAACCTCAAAAGTCAATTTGGCCTTGTGGATTGCTGCACCTTACCACAATGACCCCAGCTGCTATTGGTCCAGTGGGCATGGAAGCGGTGATACGGTGCCCTGTAGACTGCAAATACATGGTTGGTGCCTTTGTCAGAAGACACGAAAAAGCAGTGTCGTTGCTTCTGGCAGGTACGGGCCATAGAAACACAATGAATTCCTAACTTTTGATGATTTCTTTTCCCATCTGGCCCAGAGGCTGGGCCAATGGAGAAGTTGTGTGCATGCTACTGTTTGCAGTGCTGTTGTCTGTTTCACTGTTGGAATAGCTGGAGGCTGCCCACTCAATCACATTGCATCCCTTGCCAGACTTATGCACAATGCCAGAAAGAAACTGATGCTTTCTGATGATCTGAACTCGGTTGGGACACGAGCCATGGCCATTGTGTCCTTTTGCACTTTGGTGCAATGGAAATGGTCAGGTAGTTAGTCACATGCCATTGAGATTCTGGGATGTCCACAGGTCTCAGTCTAAAGCCCTGAATGTGGCCTGCAAGAGGTCCACCTGGAATAGAGGAGAAATTGGCAGGCGGTTGCCATCCAGATCAGACAAAAGTCATCCTGATTCCCATATGCTGCTGTCGGTCTTTACCAACTTGTTGCACTGATTGCCCTCCTTTTGTGCAATCGATGCTCAATTCCTTTCCCAACTGAAAAGCTCAATATTTGCCAGGGACCTTAAGAATGTCATGCAACAGTTCTGTACTTGAATTCAGCAGAAGTGTAGTGTATCAAGTGGTAATGTAGTGATGGCCAAAATGCAGCACAGTGTAGCGCAGTGCACTATTGTACTGTAGCACAATGCACGATGGTACAATACTGTACAATGCACTTGTATCTTCAGTCCCTTTGGACTGACAGGTCAATCTGGGCCATGTAGCAGGCCACCTTGCCAATGGAGCTGCGTTCTGTGCATGATACTCAGCAAGCCAGATCATCAGAATGTATTTTATTTTTTTTTCAACAACGTAAAAATAATGACAGAGTTCCACAGTGGTGAATGGATGTGTGTGCCCTGCTGCACCTGTCCCTTGCAGCTTGAGCACCTGAATTCGGAGAAAGGCAAGCTCACATTGGAAACAATCGACCTTGAGAACCAACTGGAGGCGGAGCAGGAGTATATTGTCAACAGACTTCAGATGCAGGTGAGCATCAGGATCGCTGGCTCGATTATTCAACATTGCAGCCACGGATATCGTCACAAAATTCCCCACTGCATCGATACCCAAGGTCACGTGCCCGTGGTGCAGTGATTGAGGAGAAGGCCAGCCTGCACATTGAGCAGTGATGTTCTTATTGCTCCCTGCATTGCTTAGTTGGGGTTGTTTCTTTGTGAATCTGTGTTGATAACACTCTATCCCTTGTGTCTCTGTATCAGTGCTGGTCGTTGAACCACTTGCTGCTGCTTTGCTGTGGAGCTGTTTTGAATACAGTGGTGCTCTTTGCCAGGGAGGGCTGAGGTGGGACACCTTTGCCTTTTCTGCAGGTCAGGAAGCTGGGACACGAGAAGGGTGCTCTGCTGCGAGAAAAGAATGAGCTGCGCGGACAGGTAGAACAAAAGTCAGCACGACTACTTCGCTGGGGGAACCAGTCGTGTGAGCCATGGGCAGTTTTGCCAGACTTGTGGCATGTTTGGCTTTTGATCACCTGAGTGAGCAAAAGTGTGTTTCTGACTAAGAGAATTCGTGTCATTTTGCCCCATCCCACACCAAGCAGAGCTGATTGCAGAACTCATTGAATGCTGTGGAAACTGGCATAGAAGTCGCTTGGGTGATGGTATACATCAGTCTGCCAGTGCTGAAGTTTTGTTCACGAAATCGATGTTTCTTTAATCTGTATTGTGCCCTGAGGCTCAAGCGCAAGAGAGGCTGCAAGGTTAGTATGTAGTCCTGACGCCCGACCTAGTGTTGCCCTTGTCGGGCTGCTCAACCCCGAGTAGATTGCATTTGTCAGATAATGAAAGTAGCCGACCTTGCACTCATTAAGCGTGCTTGGGGTTTGGGGGCCATGCGCAGTACCAACTGATGTGAATGTACTGCGCCAGTGTCGTCTTTTGATGCACATGTTGATGAAAGCGTGTGTGCATCAGATTGAGGACCTTGGCAGGTCCGTCGCCAAGCTCAACGGAGACAAGGTCGCCATGGAGCAGCAGCTGGAAATGGAGGAGGAGAACATAGTCAACCGCATGCAGCGCCAGCTGAATTATGCGCGCTTCCAGTATAAGAATCTGGAAAAGCGGATGCAGGAAAGGGGCCTATCGCCCAAGGACTTTGGTGCCGAACCGCTGGAAATCAACTGCCGGTGAGCAACACCAGTGCTTGAGATGTATTGTTGGACCGATATGATCGACAGGTTTGGAAACCATGCCCAGTGGCTTGCAGTGGATTAAATTTCAACCTTGACATTTGTGACGACCGTGTTGTGCACATTCTGAATGCGGACTCGTGCCTGACACCGCTCTGCAGGCCTGGAAGTGAAGGTGCATTGAGCTCACTTCAGATCTCAGACTCTGAGGGCTATGCGTGCATTGGATTTGGTCCTTGAAGCTTGATAGGGCTGTCGAAGCTCAGCTTGAATTGTGCATGCCGCTGAACCATGTTGTACAGATAGTTCAATCTGCAGCCTCTTGGTGTCCTTTCTGTTTGTGAACTGCCAACCCGTCCACACTCGATTGCGATTATCTGCCAGCGTTGGATCGCTGATCCAGCAATTGTTGCTGCTTGTTGCTTGCAGTCGGCTTGGGCGCCACTCACTCCGTTCCCGATCTTTTGATGCTGGATCCTTGAAGCTGTCAAGGAGGGACGTGCGTTCGATGATCACGGGCATGTCAGTACATTAGCTCAACCTATGTTTTCCACGTAAGTATCGCCTCCACTGCCATGGTGGTAAATTGCGTGGTAGATAAATGACGTACGAATATTGAATCAACTGATAATTGACAATTGACCAAGAAAAGGAGTAAAATGATGAAGCAAGAAAGTTAGCAGCAGAACGTGAATGTGCTGCCCAGGTTGTTCCAGATGGTAAGCAAAGACCGAAAGTCCCCAATCCAAAAATCACACACACGATTTGTTCCGATGAACACAAAAATTCCATCTTTTTGTCGCACTTGTGTGGATCCACCCAACATCACCTGAAAGGCACAAAGGCAGTGGGTTGTAAACTGTTATGGCTTGTCAACTTTCTCAAGTCCTGAAGCCATTGCTGATTTGCGCTATTTTGCACATACTGTTTCGTTTTTTGTCCCTTGCGATGCTCGAACGTGCGATGCTCAAAAGTGCTTTGGCTGCTGTTGTTTCCTGTCTGTCCAGTCAAAGACATTGCCACTGGATGCATTGTAAAATATTGAAGTTGTTGCAGCGGGCCGGTCACGACTTGGCAATGGGGCGATTCAAACACGCTGATATCGCTGAAATCTCATCTTGATACACCCAATTTGAGTTCTGTCCCGAAGCAATTCTTGTGGCAGTGGCATGAGCTCCGTACGTAAGATCCTGCTGCATCTGCTATCGCCTGCAAAGGGTGCAAGGGCTAGGAGTTCTCACGTTTGTTAGCAAGCTGCAGCCATTGAAGGCTCGTGGTGAAACCAGAACGATCCATTGACTTCCAAGGTTGGGGGACCGTGCCATGTCGATTTTGGCACGCTTGGCATCAAATCGACATTGCAAGTGGGCGGGTGTGGGAGTGGGGGTGGGGGGGGCAAGGTTGGTTACACGCCAATACAATTCATACAAAGGGCACCCCTGCAATCAATCAACCAAGTGTCCTCAGAATGATGCTTCAACAGCAGAGGTCACGGCGTCTGTTGTGCTCAGTCTCAAAGCGTCATGACCGAAAACATAATCTGCGCCTCGGGCAGGGGTTGTCATAAGCTAGAAGACGGCCCCTCCTGAGCAAGTGTGTGATATGTGACACTGTTCATTCTGTGACAAGATGGTGTAGAGTCTCCCAGTGCAAGAAGAAGGGCATGCACCACAAGCAACACGAAGAGCAAGAAGTATGCGCTCAGGGGGCCCATATGAGATGGTTTGAATGTTCGCAGCGCCAGATGACAGCCAGGGGTGGGGAAAAGCTCGGCGACAATTTGACGCCAAGCATACCAATCGACATGTTGTGGTCCCTACACCAAGGGATTGTCTTGATGTGATGGAAGCATGCCACAAATGGTTGTGACTCTGTTCCTCTTCCAGCGATGTTTGTCCTCGTGACAATGGTTGCATTCCATGCTTCCCCTTGAGCACTCTCTCCTATATCAGCGCCCAGGGCCGGTTTGTGATGCGAAGCATATGGCGCTTGCCAATGGATTGTCCCAGGACATGCACAGCGTTTGGCGCTGTGCAACAGTGTTATTTTTGAAGTGCACGACTTCAGAAACTCAATGCTCTGTGACGAGTGCTTGTGCCTTTGCAGGAGAACAAACGCGGCTCTTGGTAGGGGCTGGCAAGCTCGTGGTGGCTATCTTTTCCGGAGGGTGTGTCAAGGGGCGGTGGGGGGATTCTGATTTTCGTCAACGCTGCGGCAACAGCAGCATTAGCAAGCAGGGGGCTCGTGGCTGGGACTTCCTGGAGACTTGCTTGGGCTGCTCGGCAGACGTGTTGCATGCAAGCCCGTTTTAGCTCAGGGTGATGGGACACAGAACATAGCCTGTTGCGTACGTAATGCGTTCCGTGCATGTGTGACGCATTAGCATTTCTGCATATTCTGCAGATGGTGGGGGCGTTCGGCTGGGCTGGCGCACCTGTCCTGCGCCTTTGCGTCTGGCCGTTTTCCGCGCAACGTGGAGGTGGGTGGGTGGGGGGGGCGGGGGGAGGGTCTGGGGTTGTGAGGCGCTATGCTGCATGATTCATGTATGAGTCATCCGCCTGCGAGTTAGCTGACGTCCAAGTGATGGTAATGCCGCTGCTGGGAAAGTAAGGCCAGCTGGACAATGGGGCTTTCGTCGGTCGCGACGGGGAATGACGCTTCTTGTGTGACGCACTTGTGGCAAAGATAGGCCAGGCTCCGGCGAAGTGCGCTCTGGAGTGAGCTTCTCGGATTGATCTGGTAGACGGTTCTCATCAGGGGATGGGATGGGGAGGTGCAATATAGAATGGGGCAAAGGGGCAGAGTTGCGCAGTAGGATATTGTCGGATAGCCATGTCATGCATTCAAGACTTGTGTATTTGGCTTGGTGGCTGCGCGTCTGCATGTGTGTATGCATGTCGCAAGATTTTGCCAGGCGTCCATGACACGGTAGCAGTGACACAGTTGCTTCATGGGGTGGAATCCACGCTCGCACGAAGGCTCAAGGGAAGCACGATCCCGTCTTTGCGCCTTGGTTTTGGCCCCCTGGACAGGGACACTTGGCTTCTAGACGGCGGCCTTGCTGGAACCAAGGAACGCGAGGCGAAGGTGAGTCGAGCTGGAAATTCAACAACACGTTCAGCAGAAACATTGACAGGATCCAGTAGCATGTAGATTTCACAGTTCAGAAAGAAATAAATCGGGCGTATCCGCCAGCGGGGTTCAGCCTGTCCCCGTGGACATTGGGCCCGAGACTCTGCCAAACCCCTCCGCCTCGAGTCCAACCTGCTCCAAAGCGGCTTACGACTGAAAGACTCCACAAACGGGCACAACAGAAAAGAAAACGCTCGACGGCCTCCAAAGGGGGCCCCAGCAGCTCAAGAAAATGCTCGACCAAATCAGTACACCTCTCCACAAGCAGTACACCCCTTTCCTACTCTACAACCCTTGCCAACATACAGATTCCGAAACGAAGGCGCCCGTGCCAACACACACTTCGCGCCGCCTTCAAGGACGGGCCGTCAGCCTGGAAACACGCCTGGCCAACACTCCAACCTCCAAATTCACACTGTGCACTGTCTAGTCACTATGCGGTCAACTGAATGAACCTAAAGATAGATGGCAAATAGCTGATAAATTTTCCCTTGGCGATTTGGCCAACTGTGCAGAGCAGCTCACGGTTCGGGCCAAGCCTGTCCGACGCCCCAGCCCGGTGTCGCCATCGTCGACAGCGCAACTCTTTATTCGCTGCCTCAGTGACCCTCAAGATAACCAAGGGATACAGGCAGATACGATAATGGAAGGCAAGGCTAGATTGGGACGGGGCAGCCACCGCCGTGCTGGAGGCAGAGCCCCATCTGGGGGCGCCATTCACCCATGTGCCCTGGAAGCTTGCAGTCCCTGGGTAGCATCCCATGGACAAGGTCAGCAAAACTTGGGTTCAAACTGCGGGCGCACAGTCTGCGCCACGGAGATATTCCCTCCTGCACTGGCCGCGAACGCGAGAAATTCACGTTTGCTTTTTGAACACGAAGCTGGGGAAGCGGGTGGTGAGCTCCTTCAGGACGGAGAGGGTCATGTAGGCGATCACCGTGGGGTTTTGCGAGCACAGTGTGTGCCACTCCTCCTTGGAGATGTACCCAGACTTGGATTTGTCCACCTCCTGGAAGGTCTGTGCAAGCACACGCAGATATAGGTCAGCAGAAGGCTTGCAGCAGAACAGGCAGCCAGAGTTGGTCCGGCCATGGGCAGCACAGCCACGCATTTCCTTGCTGCTCATGCTACTTTCCATCACATCAGCTGCAGTCAGAGACTTACACATAATGCTAACTAGCACGGACAATTGCCTTCCAAAGTTCTCCCTCAGGTGTGAGAGCCCCATTTGTACCGCATTTTCCCTTGCTGATATGAAGGTGGGCTTTAGAGCAGGCACAGTGGTATGCTGTGGAGAAAGGGAGCCATCAACGCAAGCCTGGTGCCAAGCGCTTCTGTGAAATAAGAGGCTGGCTTGGTAACTGTTGAGGATCACAACCATGAATAGGGTAATGCAGACACTGTGGCCCCCCTCCCTCTTCCCTCTTCATATTTTATGGCCACAGGAGGTTGTCCACTGCATTTCATTCAACTCTCACTGAAGATTTTGGCCCTATCGATAACAAAGAACCTTAAAACCAAGAACCCCCAAAGCTATCAGACGAAGCAACAGGGCAGTCCTGGTGCGACGCCAATCCCAGGGCAACGGCAACAGATCCCCTCACCCGGTCAACAAGGTCAGCGACTGCCTCCTTCGGCAGCCTCAAGTCTGGGTTCTCATGGAGCAAAGCCAACAGCAAGTGGGACACCTCATCCTTCTCGATCACTCCCGTGTGCTTCATGTCATAAATATTGAACGAAACTGCACAGACAACCACATAACCATTCTGTTAGGGCGGTGGCAGCATCTGGACCCTTCAATGTGATGTAGTGTAGTACGCTCCAACACAACATGACATAGATCTGTTGTGGAAAATTGAGTGAAAGCGAATGGAATTGTTCCATTGGGCTGGGCATTGCAGTCTCCTGCTGATCAGCACATGTATATGTAAGTCACTCCTTCGTTGAATTTTTGCCAACATCGCCACTGAAAGGGCTGTGGCTGCATTTGGCATGAAAAATCATAGTGCAAGATGTTTCTGAGGGTGAAGTGCCACAGGCACCCACAAGGAGTGTAGGCAACACTCCAATACCCTTTCCGTACATCTGAATCAAGCCCAGGTCCTGGGTATGCCAAGATGCAAGTTGAAAGCCCACAAGAAAGCAGCCAACGCAAGGAGAGTTGTGACTACAATGGCCCCAAGGAGCACTCGGCCAGCGTGCCCTTGCATTGCATGCCTGCCCTAACACTCTATGGCACTAATGGTAACACACTGAAGCACCGCATTTTACAATAATGCTCAAGGGTCCACCAAGAAAGTTTCGGTTGCTCAAACGACGACAAGCTGCAAAAACGACCAAATCGGCCAGTCTCCACCGCAACATCAACAGGAAACAACACAAACATCTGGTGGCCGCCAGCGCCAAACGACTGCGGCGGAGTGCCTCGCTCTAGCACCGGAGCGGCCATCACAGCGCTTCGAGAGGCACCGGGGCTTGGCGTTGCTTCGCCAAACATTGCCACTTACAATCAATTTTGTCCCTCAGCGGCGCGTGCGGGTGGAACACGCTGAGCGACCTCACGAACTCTCCGAAGTCGACGACGCCATTCTTCTTCACGTCGAAAAGCTCGAAGACCTGGAAAGGCGAATGGACATCGGCCAAGTTACGAGGTTTGGAAGATCACCCGTTGGGGGCCCGGCGGGCAAGAAAGAGAGCGCGGGCCACGATTTCGTGCAAGCTCGGGCCTGCCCGAGCGCGTGATAAGGCCATGAGCCAGACCGAGCAGTTGGCTGCGGCGGGCGCACTGTGCGGCGCGGATGGCAGCACCGTCGTCGCTCCCACAGGCACTCACCCGTTCAACGAACAGGTTGGTTTTGGAGGTCTTGAAGATGGCGACGCTGAACTCGTCCTTGTGAATCAGGCCGTCCTGCGCGCCAGGCACAACCGCCGTCAGGCCCCTGCTCCGGCGAACGGCGTTCCGCGCGAATCAGCGCGTCGGTGTGTCGGCGCCCGTTTTGCCGCGCCTTTCAGAAATCGCCGATCGCCAACGGGCTTGACGTTTTGATGTCAACGCGGTTGAAGGGCGAGCGCCACCCACGGCCGGCGGGTGACTTCCGCGCGGAAGTACTTCGGGGCGCACTGCGGCTGGCGCGGTCTGCAGACAGGCGACTTGGGCAGGAAGGCGCGCCGGGACACTGCGAATGCAGCTCACCGCCACGACCGAAGTGCTGACTTGCCGGAAGAGCTCGAACAGCGCGTACACCTCGTCCTCAGTGACTGCGGTGGCAGATCAGCACACGCACAAATCGAAATCAGCGAAAGGGGGGGAGAGACTCACGGAAGCGGCTCCGGGTGTCGACGTACACCGGAGGCCCGGCCGGCGACACGAACAGAGCCACGCCGCATCGCTGCCATCCAAAGTCGATGAACGGCCGGTGTGCGCCCGGGGGGGCCGCGCCAGAGCCCATCCCGCCAAATCAGCTCCGGGACACCCAGCCCGAAGCCGGGCCCTCCCACTCCCCTTCCTCTCCACCACTACCGTACCCCATTTGACGCGACAACCTAAACACAAACCACCGAACCCATGAAACCATTCCCACCCCTTCTCCTCCCCGGCCCATTGCGGCATGAGCGCGCCCACTCACAGCAGGTCTCCCTCGCGATCACTTTGGGGTCGTTCGTGCCCGTGAGGTCGAAGCCCGCAAAGTTGTCGTCCACGGCGGTGGACCCCCTCCCGCAGCAGTTCCCCATCCTCCCCCGTGGCCGCCACACCGCCCAAAATGGCGATCCGAAAACCGCCGCTCTCCCCTCCAAGCGGCGGGCCCCGATCGCAGGCCTCCCACGGTGCCCCCGATGCGCCCCCCAGCCTCAGCTTGCGGGCAAAGGTGGGAGGCAAGCAAAATGTTGGGTTCGGCGAAGGTGGATCTGCTGTAAGGTTCCCCCGGCCGTGTCTGGCGCGGCGCGCCAGTACCGGAGGCCGGAGGCGCCGGGAGGGTGGGTGGGGGGAGGGGGTGGGGGAGAGGGGTGTGGGGGGAGGTGCACGGGTGACGGAAGGCTGGGAGTGTGCTTTGGCGCCAGAACGCGAGAGCGATGGGACGACGTGGCTCAAGAAAGCGGGACAGTAAAACGTGGGGCGCTTACAATGCGTGCTTCCTGGGCCGTCGCGCTCCGTCGCGGTACGGTGGGTGTGTTTTTTGATCCGTTTTTGATCCGCGGCTGTACTTTGGGAGGACTGTTGGCGGTTGTGGGGGGGAAGGGGTTCAAGTAAGGGCGGGCTGGGGCCTGTCTGTCGGCAGGTTGTAGGGAAACCACGGCATTACAGCGCACCGACTCTTCGAGACGCAACGCGCAACAAGAGTCGTTGTCACCGCCGCGGGGCGCATGTTAAATCCGACCCGACCTCTGGGTTTGAGGTCACAGCAACCGTCTCAGTAAGGGGCTTGCGTCGCCCTTCTGATGTCTCGTCGCTACGATCAGACCATCGAGGTCAATTGCGGCTGCCTGCCCATTTCGCCCCTCTGGCTCGAGGCCAGGCAGCAAGCGCCTGGTCCGCCCTCCGGCGGCTGACCGACCCCGTCCACAGCGTCGCCCAGAGCGCGCTTCCTCAGCCCCACACCCCCAAAGTCGACATCGCCAGCCTGATGAAAGGGCCCGCCTCGTCATGTAATACAGCGAGCTCGCAATCAATGGAATCGGACACCTCCAACAGTAGCACCACGGGCAAAACTTACAACGGGTGCCCCTTCGGGAGGGCGCCGCGCGGGAGCGCACGCCCCGCGCGCGGCGACCGGCCCCCGGGCGACACGCCTGTCGGAACAATTTTCAGCATCGTTCTTCTCGCCGGTCTAAACTGCACACCACTCAGCGGCATCAACTTTTCAAAGCGAATGTGACCCGCCGCCGCCCAAACGCCCCGCTCTTCCCTCGGCCGCCTCCTGCGGACGCGGAAGGGCGCGGCCGAGAGCCCCAGCCGCCGCCCCCGCACCAATCCCACTCCCCCAATTCGCGTTTACGGTTACATACGGTATGCGGTCACCCCGCGCATACGGTCGCCCTCAAAATCCGGTCCCTCAGCGGCCGGGGTTCAGGGCCATGGACTGGGAGCCGACCTCGATGGCCACCTCGGGGTTGGCCTCCGGGCTGTTCTGCTCCGACGGCGGCACCAGCTGCCAGAACCGCTTGGCCGCCGCGGGCCAGTCGTCCAGGATCGCCCTCCCCCTGACCGACCCGGATTTCTCGACGTGCGCCTCGATAAGGGACCGCAGCTGCTCCTCGCCGGCCGGCGTCCTCAGACGCTGGATGCTCACGATCTCCGTGTTCACCTTCTCTGGGAAGTCCCCCGCCTCGTCGTAGAAGTACGCCAGGCCGCCCGTCATGCCCGCGCCCACGTTGCGCCCCACGGTGCCCAGGCTCACCACGCAGCCGCCGGTCATGTACTCGCAGCAGTGGTCCCCCGTCCCCTCGACCACAGCCTCCGCCATCGAGTTTCGGACAGCAAAGCGCTCCCCGGCGCGGCCGTTCACGAACAGCCTGCCACCCGTGGCCCCGTACAGGCACGTGTTGCCGACCAGGGACGCGGTATCGGAAGCGAACTGCGACTCCGGCGGGGGCACGATCGTGATGTCGCCGCCCGCCATGCTCTTGCCCACGTAGTCGTTGGCCTCGCCCGTCAGCTGCACGTCCATGCCCCCAACCAAAAAGCACCCGAACGACTGGCCACCGGAGCCGCGCAGCACGAGGTTCAGGCACCCCGTGAAGCCCCGGTCGCCGTACCTCTTGGCTATGGCGCCCGATATCCTGCCCAGCGCCGCCCGGTCCGTGTTCACGATCTCGTACTTCTTCGTCAGCGTCCTCTCGTTCTCGATGCAGTCCAACACATCGGGCTCGGCCAGAACCCGATCATCCCACAGCCCTTCTCCATTTTCGTGCGTCGCCATCCGCAGGCGCTCGGAGGAGACTCCTGGCGGGCCGGCGTATGTCGTCACGAAGGACAGGTCCAGGTGGGTGGTCTTGGCCAGGGCGACCCCCCTCTGCTGCAACAAGTCCGCCCTGCCGATCAGCTCGTCCAGCGATCGCAATCCCAGGTCCGCCAGCCCGCACCTCACCTCCTCGGCCACGAACTCGAAGAACCGCACCAGGTCCCCCGCCACGCCCGGGAACCGTGCCCTTAGGTCCTCTCTCTGAGTCGCCACGCCAACCGGGCAGTTGTTGGTGTGGCATACGCGGGCCATGATGCAGCCCGTGGCGATCATGGCCACCGTGCCGAAGCCAAACTCGTCCGCGCCGATGGCAGCCATCTTGAGGACGTCAACGCCGCTGCGGATGCCGCCGTCCACGCGGACCACCACGCGGTCGCGCAGACCGTTGCCGACCAGGGACTGGTGCACCTCGGCGACGCCCATCTCCACGGGGCCGCCGGCGTGCTTGATGGAGCTGACGGGAGAGGCGCCCGTTCCGCCGTCGTGGCCAGACACCTGGGGGAAGGTCGGGGGTCAGCAAGGAGCGGGCCTCAAGGCTCGAAAAGGATTGCGAACACCTGGAACGGGGCAAGGTGGTGTTGCAACCAGAAACGACTGAGGGTTGTCAATGGCTGGACGCATTAACATCCGATGAAACAATAGGAACTAAGCAAAGGATACTGATAAACGAGCCGGATACACACAAGGGACAGGATTCCTGTTGTCCCTTTGCTCCGCTGTAACCCGTTGCCGTGTACTCGAGCCTACGGTGAGCAGTCGGGGGCCGCCACCCCTCGACCCTGCCCGCCTTCGTCAGTGGGAGTTTCTAAGTGGGGATAACGACTTCCGCATCATCATCATCATCATCACCAAGAAATTTACATATCGAGGCGAGGAGATAGCCATCAGCACCTACTGCCGCCCGACCAAAGCAGCGTCCATGACTGGGTCCATGAGAGCCCAAGATACTTGCACTATGTGGCCACTGGGGTGCTCCGCATTAGATCACACTAATTCACAAAATTCGGTATGATCAAACCGCCTTATTCCGTTGCTTGCATTCTAATGCAAGTGCATTGTTTGCATCATCTACACGAGCAAGATCCGGCGGATCACCATTTGCACGCACAGTGCTTGCACTGATTCATTCCGACTGGGGGCGGGTGAAATGTCGGGCAATGAGTGCCAGTCGGGTTGCATCGTTTCCTGTGCCGCGCCCTCGTCTCAGGACCCATCTTCCTAACCTACTCGGCGTGCGGCTGGCATCGGCGATGGAAACCACAACAAGATGCCATCAAGTTGCCATACCATGGACAGCAAACATGAACGCAACGGGGGAAATTCGCTCGTTCCTTTTTCTTGCGACATCCAGCTTTTCCATCGATTTCAAGCTACTAGTGGATGGGAAGAAACTTGACGTCGTTTAGCCGACAAAGCAGCTCGTGCCAGAAACTACACATGCCATGACAAGTGTGTCATGTTGCATGCAATGAATTTCTGGACTCGTTTTCTTGACTTCTGGCAGACGATATTGACTCGTGTCAGGGAAGGAGCTGCGAGATATTCGACTCGAATCCAGAAGCCGAACTCCAACTCAGTCAACATTAACCTTCCACCAATTTGTAAAATTGGAAATTGATGATCATGGGACAGAGATTTTTTGGTACAGTGCTGACTCCCCTGGCATCTGAAGGTCAACCGTAAAGATTTTCTTTTACTGTTTCTGCAGTGTTTGGTAAAAAAAAGGTCTGCTGATCTTCAGCCCTCGCGCTCTTCATCTCACGACCGATTGCACACCCTGGCGATGTTTCTGGAGGCGCCATATGGTCCGAATCGCCTCTAATGGACGAGCCCACACCACTCAAACGCAAGGCACAAGCGCAGACTTGCAATCCAAACTGACCTGAATGACGTCCGCACTGGCCTTCGCCACCCCGCTTGCCACCGTCCCAATGCCCGCCTCCGCCACAAGCTTCACGGACACCTTGGCGTGCGGGCTGACTTGGTGCAGGTCGTAGATCAGCTGCGCCAAATCCTCAATCGAATAAATGTCGTGGTGCGGGGGCGGCGATATTAGTGGCACTCCCGCCTTGGATCGCCTCAGGCCCGCTATGTAGGGGCTAACCTTCTTCCCCGGCAGCTGGCCGCCCTCCCCAGGCTTGGCCCCTTGGGCGATCTTGATCTCCAGCTGGTCTGAGTTCACGAGGAATTGGGGGGTCACTCCAAAGCGGCCGGAGGCCACCTGCTTGATTGCGGAGCTGGCGGTGTCGCCGTTCCGCAGGCCATTCAGGTGGGGGAGGGTCTCAGACTTGCCATTGCTGTCGACGTTGTTCAAAACTTCCCACCTCACAGGGTCTTCTCCCCCCTCGCCTGAGCACGGACACGTACCATTTCAGACGAACCAGTAATACTGGGGCCATAGGAATGCAGAAGAAGTGTAGCGGTGCCTTTTTCGCTTCCTGAGAATGCACACTTGCCTTCTTGTGATCAATCTGTTATGCTTGGTAATGCCTTGCAGTTTCTAAAGTGGTGGCACAACGCCAACATCTCTTCAATCTGGACTGGAGCGACGCCTGGATGCTCAAGCGCAGAGAACACAGGAGTAAGAGTTTGGGTTGCTGCTGCCAATTCTGGCAATGAAAACTTGTGATGTGCCTTGTCTGTTGGGAGTTGAGGTGAGTGGAAAGACAACGGGGCGTGTGCGGCATGACATAGGCCAGACGATGTCATGCACGGCTTCCACTTTGCACACATGCTCGCATGATATTGGAGCCACAATGATGGGCTCTGGCACTTGGACAAGAACTCTATGAGTGGATTTTGCACGTATCGATGACATCATCTTCAGTTGTTGGATTCGTCATAATGAACAGCAACAACACTTCCTCACATAGGGCCTTTTTGCATGTTCTCTTCCTGTTTCTCGGCAATCTACTTGTCCTTGCACTGCAAGACTTGTGTGCATCGTCCAATGCAGTGTAGGTTGTTATCACAAATTTTGGTAACGAAGGGAACACTGGACAATCTACGCCATTCTTTTCCTTTTGTGAAAGATGATCTCAGGCAACAGGACGACAACATTGCCTTGCAAGTGAAAAACTTGTGAGACAAGCATGCAACAAACACACAAATGTCTCAAATGTCACAAATGTCACAAATGTCCAGAAAGTGGCCAAAGGCACCCACCTGAGTTAGACTTGCCACCGATTCTGTTCATGGCGATCGCAATCGTCTCGTGCGTCTCTCGTGAGATTGCCCCCAGCGACATTCCACCTGTGCAGAAGCGTGCCATGATAGCCGAGGCAGGTTCCACCTCGTCAACGGAGATGGGGGCCTTGTCGGAAACGAACTCCAGACAATCTCGAAGGACCGCGACAGGGCTCTCAAGGAAATGGTCCTTGAAAGCTTGGTATGCCTCCGGCTGAGCCCCTGCACCATTTCCTGAATAACCAAGAAGGAGAATTGTTGGTCAGACAACATAACGTGTTGGGCATCATGATGTCATATACGAGGGCCACAGCACATGCTTTCAGGTTCACTGGAATGAATCCAGGAGCCGTGGAATGTCCTTTTGTGATCCTGAGTGATGCATCATTGGTATGCCTCCTGGAAGTGCACTGGCAGTGACACACACAATGTTACTATGACTGAACCTTCAAACTGACATCCAACCCCTGTCAATACCCACTCACTAGCAGAATTCTCCAAGAAATGCTGATATCAAGTGGACAGTGCTGAGACAATGTAGGATATGAGATTCTTGGGGGCTAGCACATTGGGGATCTATCGGCTTGGCACAGAGACACAATGCTGTGTGCTGCTGTGCCCTCAAGTATGCAGGAGGCCAACATTAACAATTTGTCTCACTGTGCAACCATACTGCAAAATTTTTCCATTCACTATCCTCTAGAACAAGAATCCATTTGCTGTTACAGTCAACGATGCGATCCCGCGCTAGCTGTGAGCAAGCCACATTTGGAAAGGCCACATGCAATCGCTCAGGCCCATTCCATTTGTGACCAGACATGCAATCCTGGCAATGCTTATCACATACCAGAAGGTAGTGCTCCGTCCAGCAACTGATGGAAGGAAGCGATATCGATTTGCACCTCACAATACAACAGCTGTCTTGTCCACACTGACATGAATATTATTCAACATGTGACTTGCCACGTGTGACAGCTTGCTAAGAGGCAGACCCCGCATGGCTGGGCCCTTTCTATCAAGGATGCATTCGTTCACATGAGAACACAGATAGATTTCCAACACCAGGTTACCATACAAGTAGTTTCCACAACTGCTGCAAAGGATTTCGGCAGGGGCTGCACTTTCTGCATATCAGTTTCTTCACGGGCCCATGAATGCATAACATTGTCCCTACCCAGCCCAATCGACTTGTGAAGCAGCTTGGCCATCGCTTGATTGTTGGCATGGAATTCCCCCCTGGGCTTGGACTGGATGAACCCATAGTCCTCCAGTTTCTTCATGGCCTTTTCTGGGAAAGCCTTTGCCCACAAGGCCTCTGTCTCCCTTTGCAGATCGTCCATGGTCATCCCACCAATCCGCGAGACAGACCCACGGAACGCAACATCCACCAGGTCGCTACCAAGGCCATAAATCTCGAAGATCTGGGCACCATGGTAGCAGCTGAGCAGAGAGATGCCCATCTTTGACAGGATCTTCAGCAGCCCCTTCTCCATCGCCTTCTTGAAGTTCTTTTGTACACCCTGGATAGGTATGTCGACAAGTTTTCCAGAGTTGATGAGGTTTTGGGTTCGGGGAGAGAGACGCCATTGCCTGCAGGTCTCAAAAGTGAGGTAGGGGCAGACTGCATGTGCTCCATATCTGCATCGATAGATTCCAGCACATCAGAAATTGCCCATTTTCACAGTTACCAGTGGGGCAGTTATTGTGACAAATCTAATCCATTCAGTTAAGGTGCAATTCTGCTGTGAAGCAAAGACTGCAAGTCCACCCTCAAATCCACATTTAGTTCAAACAATGGTCCCCTGATTCACATTGCATGCCCATACTACATGCTGGCAGCTGCCCCCCTACCATCCAAAAGGAAAAGATGAAAAAGCAACAGGGAAAGGGAAGAAAGATCTTTACATGGAAGCTCCTCGACTCCATATATACACCTGCCGTGGCAGCCAGGCAGAACACCACCATGCAAACATACACTTTGCCCTACTCTCATTGTGCAATACCAAACAATGGCAAGACAATATCAGGGAACATGCTGCAAATTTGCTCTGGGGCAGAGTCATTTCTGCACTGGTAGTTTGCGAAGGCCATTCCACACGGACAGGGCGCTTGACAAGCCTGTGCTTGGCATTTTCGTCAGGCATGTACCTCCCCCCACTCCCCCCCCCCCTCTCCCCCGCCTCCACCACCCCACCACCCCACCAAAGTGCGCACTATGCCTAACAGAACCATATTTTGGTGCAAAAGCTGTAACAGTTCTTTTCAGAAATTCAATGGTCTCAATAGCTATTGTACACAAAAGGTTCACCCGAAGTATGGACAGTGGCTGTTCACACACTGCATGTCCGCCCCTTGCAATGGTCTAGCAGTTTGCCGCTCACCCAAATGGGTAGCAGCTTCCTCAGTTCCCACCTTTTTCTCCCACTGGACCTGCATGTTTAGTTTCATGGGCAACACATTTTCGGGTTGCTGGGCCCAGTGCACTGACCAAAGCGCCTTGTTGACCTTAGGGGGCTGAATGTGGCAAAGTACAGGGTCTAACACACCTCCACTCACCCGATCAACACAGCAAGGTGGTGTGTGCTGAAGCACTGCGCCGTCTCTACCACAATTGACGTCTCTGTTCTGAGGTACTTCCTGATCAGGTGGTGGTGCACGGCGCCCGTTGCCAGCAGTGCAGGTATTGGTGGCTGCTGGGGATCCATCTCTGCCGCTGAGTCCACTCGGTCTGACAACACCACACACTGGCAGCCATTCCTGACAGCCACCTCAACATCTTCACATAACTTTGCCACCGCGGCAGCCAAGGCACCGTCCTTGCCAGACTGGTAATGGAGGACGAACACTGAGCTGCCCAAGCCCTTATCTTTTGCGATCGTGGTCATCTGGCTCTCAGTCAGAATAGGGGACTTGAGAAACACCTGTGCAGATGCACACAGCACAGATATGTTTTGGTACTGAAGATTCTTGCATTGCTGGTTTTGAAATTGTCTGATTTTAAAACCAGTTTTACAGACAGCATCTAATCTTCCACAGTTGTATGTAACCCGACAGTGCTTGGTCGATGTCTTGTCATCTTTTGCAACAAAGGCATCCCATGCAAGGCATCCCACAATTGCCAAACCTCCACATACGTTCACTATCTACCCAAAGTAGATGGCAAGGGAGAAACGAGAGCACAGCAGCCAACAGCACAGCTGTTTGGTATGTTGTGCAGCATCTGCAATGAAACAGTAATTTTGCCACAAGAAACAAGCTACTTAATAAAACCTTGCTGCACCCTGTTTGTGCTTCCGCATGTGGAGCCTTGCAAGGAGCACGTGGTCAGACACAGAATGGTTCACAGCAAGCCAACGCATTGCAAAGCAGGGAAGGGGCCTTTGGTGTTCAAGGAACCTCACTCAAGGCCCACCTGCTTGTATGAGTCTGCAGATGGCCCCAGTAGGTTCCCTTGGGCTCCCAGCCGCATGGACAGCGACATGACAAGCCCCTCCCTCAGCGGGTCTATCGCAGGGTTGGTGACCTGCGCAAACCTCTGCTTGAAATAGTTGTACAGCAGGTGGGGCTTCTCTGACAGCACCGGCAGGGGCGTGTCATCGCCCATGCAGAAGATGGGCTCATTGGCAGAGGAAGCCATGGTCTCAACTATCAGCTGCGCATCCTCCAGGCCCAGCCCGTAGCCTGACTGCATGCGCAGAAGGGAGTCTGGAGGCATGGAGGCCTCGGGGGAGAAGGCAACAGGGGAGAAGTCATTGAGGCGCCTGCTGGATTTGAGCCACTCCCCATATGGCTCGCTGGCAGCCACAGTGCGGGCTACTTCGGTGTTCTCCATGAACGTGCCAGCCTCCAAATCAACGTAGATCATTTGGCCTGTCTCCAACAGCAGTCACCATACTGTGGATCAAGTGTCTCACATTTTCGTCATTTGGGGGACAGGTTAAAAGTGTATAGCAAGTTCCCATGTGTTCAGAAGATTATTTTTGCACCACTGATGCAATTCATCAGATAGCAGTTGATGAGTACCTTGGGGAGACCAATGTGGTGGTACAGAATGTTTCAACTTCATTTTGCCTGCAGGCACAACAGTCCTCATCCACCTTGAAGGTGAGGTGGCACGCTGGAAGGCAAGGGATCAATACACATGCCATGCAGACAAGCCATTGGGCTACTTCTGTGCATCGAGCAGAGTTGATTCACAGGCAACTGAGGAGGAAGTTGAGCACCTTCCGGTCACTAAACAGACACATTTGCCCCTCCAAAGTTTCGTTTCCGCCAAGGTTCAACACCATTTGGAAACCATCGACTCCCAGCTGCTTTTTTCTTGTCCCACTCGTGAAGCTGTGAGCCAATGGAGAACAGCCACACGCATGTGGATGCAATAGCGCACACAATCATGTGACAGAGAGCAAGGCGCCGCTTCCACACTGGCGGCAGTTATCAAAAGGAATTCAACGGACCTGGCCCCAACCTTCCCTTCTCAGTAACATTGGCAGCATTGGAGAGTGTGTCTCCAAGCACGCCAACCTCCGATGCCATGTAGGCGTAACCATCTGACGTCTCCCAGTATCTCGCAGGTCGCAGCCCGTTACGATCCAACCTCGCACCTATCCGCACACCATCAGAGAACACAAGGAGAGCGGGACCATCCCATCCCTCCTGGAGCCCTTCATAAAATTCATAGAAGTCAATGACCTGCCAGAAAACCATACGAGATATCAACATTCGTCCAAACAGAGCACACAATCTTGCAAATCCAACATATCCACATTGGCTGAGGCTTCAGCGACCATTCGGATCTGTTGGAGTGCACTGGCCAAGCCAATGGCAGGCACCTAACTTGTGGTGCAAGCTCTGCACTGAAAGTTGCAACCCAGTATGCTGGTTTACCAGCTTGTGTGCCCTGAACACCAGCCAGTGTCTGCCACCCCTGATGAGCAACCCCTGATGAAATTGCAGCTCTTGGCAAATGAGCAAACAACAATGCTATCGAATCCCAATAACAGCATTAAGCTAGGCACCAGCACTTACATTTCTCAGGACTGTGAGTTGCCAGCCAGATAATAGATGCACTTCACCGGCAGACTGGTTTTGCACCCATTGCTTTCATACAAACTCCTGGTGTCTTAATTAACAATGCAGCTGAGACCAGAAGCAGCATTTCAAAGTCAATCACAGGTAAAAGAAAAGTTGGGGCAACTGCAACGTGTCTGGTCAACAACAATAAGTATCAATTCTTGATTACTTGATAAGTTATGATTTTCTAAATATCACACTTGTTGGCATACAACTGTCAACATTCCGACTGCCACATTTGGCAGCATCGGAACAAATATAACAACAGTAGTGCCATACCCCATATAATTCCACATTGATTTTGCTTTTGAAACGTTCAGCACATAAGCTTGCCAAAACACCTGTGATATATCAAAGGCATGCAACTACACCAACCTCTGGATAGTTCTTGTCAAGGTCGGGGTGATTCCTGTAGGCCTCTGGAACCAGCAGCATCACAGACTTGGCTGCGCTCACTCCAGACCGCACCAGCACCTCAGCGACATGGTCCAAGTTTGCAGAGTCCGACTCCGCTGGGTTACAAATAGGGGTGAACTCCTCCTCCCTGTTCTTCCAAATGGGATTCTTGAAGGTGTGCTCGCGACTTGCCACCCAGTTCAGGTTGCCCTGCAGTGTATTAATTTCGCCTGTGCGGGCACATTAAGATTGTCTGCATCTGCAGCTAGAATAAGTGCTCTGTCTACTTGGCGTCCAGAAGGGGAACCTCGTGCAAGGGCATTGGCACAAACATACAAAATCAAAATCAGCTGCATCATCTTCAAAGCAAGGACAGTGCCCTGCCAAAAGTTTGCCCAGGTTTGACGCCCAATGGTGAGGACAGCCTTTGTGCTGACATTCATGTCTGTCCAAATGGCTGCTATTCACAATTCCACCCTCCTGAATGCGATCGAAGCATACTCTCTTCAAGGTCAATGATTGTGAGCTCTTTGCCATTCTGCAAAGCAGTATTTGGAAAGAACAATCTCACCATTGTGTCCCAAGAAGCGCATGGGCTGTGCCAGGGGCCACTTGGGGTTTGTGTTTGTTGAGAAGCGGCGATGGTACACGGCAAATGAAGCTATATAGTCAGGGTCGGTCAGGTCTTTGTAGAAGTCAGCAAGCACTGATGAGCGAAGCATCCCCTGCAGCATTCAATAACAATTGTCAACAGCCAGATATAAATGATGCGTAGGACATGTGTACTAGTCTGAGAAAGCGACCCAACTACAGGGCCAGCTGCCAGAGATTGTTTGCATTGCCCTTGAACTTGGCCAACATTCTTCCCCAGTTCAATGCCTTCTTGTCAATTACGTGAGCTTTCATAGGCGAAACTGTTCATGATCGCATAACACTGTACAACAGAACAGGAACAGCATGCATGCATGCGCCTAAAAACTACAAGCTCACAAGCATCAATTCCCTTCCAATGTTACCAGATTTGGAGCACACAGGCAGCAAATGGACCTTGTGTTCGTATAATTATAGATAATGGGGTGCAATGGTAGTTGCAATGTTAATCAGATGAAGGGTTCTTGCAATGTGTCAGCATTATGTGGCAATGTCCCCCATTAGTACACAGCGCATTCACAATTTCACGCTGGTGATAGCATCACATGACACCCTCATTAAAATCAATGAAAAGGAGCAAAGGAATGCAGCGTGGTTTAATGCAACCAGCAATAGCACTACAATGTGCAGGATGGGACAGTCATCCCAATTTAACACATTGTAAGACTACCAGCAATAGAACTACAACGTGCAGGATGGGACAGTCATCCCGATTTCACACGTTGTGAGACTACCATTACACATTGGCACACCAGGAAATGACATTTCCTTTGAGCGTTCGCAACAGAATACCTGACGGCACAGTGATGCAACTACAGATATGACAGGGCGGTGCAACAGCCTCTCCTGCTATATCATTCCCTGGCTGATGCAGCAGTGACCATGAGATCGCTAGGTCTCTGTGACCATGAGATCGCCAGGAATCGGGGTCAGGGAGCCATGGTGGTGATTTCCATAATATAAAGCCAATCTAAAAAAGGGTCAGAAAAAGACAATGGCAGTTCAAATTTCTGGCTCCAAAATTGTGAGTTGATGGTATTCTTGTTCTTATAAAACTCACCACCCTTGCAACTATCAGCCAACTTGAATGTTCAGTTCGACATCGACTGCAATCTTGTTTGAAGACGAGTTCAACGTTTCTTGCCCTTGCTGTTGTTACGCCTGCAGACTGTGCTTACTCATGCAAACTACTGACCAACGTGCAAAGGCAACAGCCATCTGCATCTGTCAATCGTCACTGCCACATTCTGGAAACAGCAGAGACAGGCGCCATAAATGTGTCCCTCCCCCCCATATCCAGCACTCCCCTCTGGGCACAGCACTTCACCAAATGGCAACAATGCAGGCAAACTAGCTTTGTTTTGAAGTCATAACCTGAGACTACTCAATAGGGGCGCATTCGCTTGTCCTGCACAGCAACCTGAAATTCGCTTTCGATTATTGCCAACTGTCACTGAGCACTGATGCTTGAAACTCAGCTTGTGCAATTCACATGAATTGCCAACACAAACTATAAGCTGCCACTGCAGATCAATGACAGTAGCAGCTGGCAAAGCCTGTCAAGCCCCTCCCAAGCACAATAACAACCCTCCATTACCCTCAACTCTATGTCAAAGTCAGTGGAGCTGAACACTCATTCTTGCACAATCAATGAGAGCGGACTCTTGCCCACTGCTGGCTTACATGTGCAGGGCCACTGCTTTGCCACATTTCGTCATCAACGCAGACCAAGCAAACACAAGTTGGAAGCTGCTGCACCTGTGATTGCGTGTCAGCCTCAAGGATTTTGTGTCATGTCTTTGTCACACATTTGTAATCTTGATATGTGAAACTCGGCGCATTCAAATGCATCAACTCATCACCTTGTACACGATGACTCTGCTGGAGAGCGTGCAGATGTAAAAGTCTGAAGCCCTGTCGCCCAACCTCACAATCGCCTCCTGCTCCATCTTCCGCCGTGTGATGAACAGCTCCCTCTCCAACTCATCCCCCTTCAGGTTGGGGCCACCTGCGATGAGAACCTGGGCAATGCGTGGCATGGTGGCCTTGGCGATGCGACCCACAACAGACGGATCCACAGGGACGTCCCGCCAGCCAAGCAGGGTGAGGCCTTCTTTGGACACCACTTCCTCCACGATCGCCCTTGACTCAGCCTCCAGGTCGTCATCATTGGGCAGGAACACCATGCCAACCCTGCGGCGGGGGACTGTGTTTCTTGAGATTTCGTTTCTCGACATCCTGTTTTGTGTTCTCCGTAAATTTGGCACCAAGTATGGGGGTCAAGTCGCAGCAACACACTTGGGGCTGCCTGCTGGGCTGCCTTGCACTTCAACTTGAGGAGTTAGAGCAGCCGTGGGGCAGATGTGAAAGTGCGCCACCTCAATAATCAATGCAGCTTGAAAGCAGCGCCATAAAGAGCAATGTAGTTATTTACCCTGTGGTGCTTTCATCCAGATCTGGAAACTGCTTTTTGAGGATGGCCCAAGGGACTTGGCTCATCACACCAGCACCATCGCCAGAGTCGTAGTCTGCCAGGCAGGCGCCACGGTGCTCCATGCAGCCCAAACCCCTCAAGGCCTGACAGACACACATATACAGAACCTGAGCAGCGTGCTGTCACTGGAATGAGACAATTGCTAACCTTGGAAGTCGCAGTGCAGCAAAACTGCCATGGCCACATTAATGGTTAACGGTGGCAAACCAACACGATTCGTAACGAATCAAAACCAGCAAATGCATAAACAAGCACAAACACAATTCTGGGAGTCAGGGGCAGCAACTGGGCTCCAAACGGATGTCATGTTCTGGAATAAAGAAAAATACAATAGCAACCATGAAAAGCAGCAATGGTGGCTTCAATACTGATACTGCAGCAACGAAATTCCAGTGCGCCCACTCCCTTTCATAAGTAGCAATGGCTACCACAATGATAATGCTTGTGATGATGATCATCGCGATGATGGTGGTGCCAGAGACAACTGACAGCAATAGTTAGAAGAGCTAGTGCATCTTAGCAGCTGGGAGGGGACACAGCAGCACTCCACACACTCCACATACATGATTGAAGCGGTTGGTGACAACCTCAGTTTGCCCTTCATCCCTTTGAACAGGCTTGAGTGTGTTTCGACCTTGCTGACAAATACAAGCAGAAGACTTGCAGACCTACACACCGTGTTTTGGATTGAAAGAGTCAAATGCACGGGAGTCGTGGGTGTTTGGAAACACACTGGCAGAGTTGGAAGAGTGACATGTTTTTAACAGAGGGACACAACAACCTGCTGACACAGCAAATCAAAAAGGCCTCAAACCCATATTCCACAAAATCAGCAGCTTCCCACCTTCAAAATGGTGTCATGCGACTTTTCATTCTTCAAGCTGGCAATGAATCCAACCTGTGCTGTGCAAACACTGCCATCAGTTCACCGACGTTGGCATGGCCGTGTTTTGAACACTGGTTGAGGCGTTCAAGGCAGTGGATGAGTGGAGTCAAGGCACCGATGAACTGTCAGGAGACATCATCACTACACCATCGAGGGGATGACGACATGATGATATATTGTTCATGCACCGGCATACCCTGGTAACAGAGCATCAGCACCAGCCTTGACCCTGGCCTGTGCACTTTCAGCCCTTCTAATTTTAGCTACCAAGCACAGGGATCATGGATAACAATTGGTATTGGATCGAGGTGACACAAGGCATGCACTTGCATGTACATTCAGGTCCTTTGGATCAATTGCCAAATTTGGGTCATGCTGTCAACCAGTGAGCATGTGGATCTGGGCAGGGTTGGCTTGTGGATGGATGTCACGTTGGACAGTGACCTCAGGGCAGTGTTGCTCCATGAAGTAGGCAGACGACCAAGAGCAAACTGGTGAGGGTAATGCTCAGACAGCCATTTGCGCGTCAGGTCTCAGCCACCAGCCCTTCGCGCTGACTGGCAGCTCGAGTCAATCATGAACAATCTGGGGAAGTTGATCCAGCAGCCGTCCTGTCGACGCAAGCCATCGGGGACCCATCGGTGACGAAAACGCGCAAACACACTCTGATCATCCTCCAATTCAAACCAGCTTCGTCCAGCCCATAGACGCTGGGGCCCTGGATAGGCACTCAGGCGCCTGGGCCGCGATCCACGCACCCCGCAGGCGGAGCTCTCCTTTAGCAGGACCTCCAGGTCGGCCACCGCCGGCCCCTCCTCGCTCCCTGTCCCTCCAGCGCCGCAGATCGCCGGCGTCCCTCGCCTGAGCAGCAAGCGGCGCAGCGACGGCAGCGACAGCACGCGGCACGCCTGGGCCTGCGCAGGGGAACGGCCGGCGCATACTTAAGGACCCTCTCGTCGCCAAAGAAAGGAAACAAAATCCCGCAAAGGGCATCAGCGCCCCGAGCAAGAATTCGGTGGCCTTTTCTCTTTCTTGGGCCTCGACTCTGGAGATGATGTGGGGTTCGTGGAGCGCGGCAGGAGTCCCGTCCGGTGCGAGGCGGCGAGCCCTGGCGGGCGGCATCGGACGCAATCCGGCGCCCGCTTGGGCGCAAGAACCGAAGCGGGCGGTGGGCATTCGAGCACAACTTTCTGGGGTTTGGGAATCACCGCTGAAGCGGCCGGCAGGAGGATAGAAGGGGGTTCCCGCCGCCAGCGGCGCCTGGACGCCGCCGCCAGTCGATTGTGCTACAACCTTCTGAGATCGCAATCCCTACAACCGTCGCCGATGGGTCCAATCCCACCCCCCAATCACCCCCCAGATCCCGACCGACCCCAAGCGGACACACAATAGCCCAAAAGTTGAAAATCGACGAGGGGAGATGGCGAGCAACCGTACGTTGTCGGCGCCCTGGCGCCCCGCGCCCGCAGCAGGGCTCCGGCCTAGCGGAGCCGGCCGCTGAAGCGTCGGCCCGGATGCCGGCTGGCACAGCCGCGATCGGCATGGCGCGCACGGCGTCGGCGCGAGGGAGGCCGACCACATCCGGCCGCGCGCCGACCTGCCGGGACCTGCGGGGCGGGGGGGGAACAGCCGGGGGAAGGGAGGCGCCTCGCTCGGGCCTGCGCCTGGGGGTGCTCGATACAACGCGGCTGCAGAAAGGCCTTCATGGACCATAAGTTGCGCATAAAGCTTGGCCCAGGGCGGCTGGGGGGGTAGTAAGGGAGGGGTCCTGGGGCGGACGTGCACCGGGCTCCCAAGATCTCGTAATGGTGTGTTGCGGGGTGGCGCAGCGAGCGGTGGTTGCTGGGCGCTGTGGGTTGGAGTGGATGACGTGGATGCCGTGTGCAGGTGATTCGCTGGGTGTGGGGACTTAATACCGCCGCCTGCACCAAATCGGTGACTGCCTGCACCGAATCACGTGCACACTAGGTCCTCACCTCGATTTTAGGTTTAGGTTTAGTTTTAGGGTGAAGTTTAGGTTTAGGTTTTTTGGGGGTAGGGGGTAGGTTAGGTTAGTTTTGGAGGGATTTGGTGCAGGCAGTCACCGATTTGGTGCGGCCAGTAAATTTATGCGGCGTATGGGTGGGACTCCGGGAGAGGCGAGAGGCGGGCACGGCAATGGGCTTGGAGATGCAGCCGAGGGTACCGAGCTGGAAAAACAGAGATCGCGGATGGGCATGACTATGAAGGGACCCTTGGTAATCATGCAGCCATTTGTCAATCATGGACCAGCCACTGCCAATGGCAGTCTGCCAATCACTGCTGTGCCGAGAAGGCAGTTCGGGCGGAACGATTTTCCCTAAATTTTGGCGAAAATGTTCGCGGGGGATCATTTTCGCAGACTCGACGGCACGCGAAAATTATCCTCGAACAACTTTTTTGTGGTGCGCAACGCATTGACGCTGCAGTCTATCCACCGCAGCTGGACTACTTTTTGGTTCTCCAACGCCGCAGCACTTTTCGCTGGGTCTGTACGTTTTGTTCAGTACTTTGGTTTCGCAGTTCGGGACAGCAGGCGGTCCACAAACGGCTGCATGCATGATTGGACTCTCGGCACAGGTTCACCTTCAGTTTAGTACTGCACAGCGAAACAAACCTGAGACACTTTGAGCATGGAACTAATCCCGCTATCGCCTTTCAACTGCAGGAGCTGTACTTTGTTACGACCTTGCAGCGTAGCGGAAATGACAATAGGGGCGCATCCTTCTTTCAAACCGTCAACTTGTAGAGTCGAAAGAAAAATTGGGAAGCCTCCGGCTGCCTCACAGCTCCTAAAGAGAAGCTAGTCACACAAGAAGACCGCCACAGGGTTGTCCAAGGAGAAGAGCAGAAAAAAGGCTGCCAGGAATCTGCAGCAAGTGACAGAGCCCGACCGGCAGGATTACGGAAATCCTCCCCACTCGCGTCCTTCGCGGCAGCGCCCGATCCGATGAGATCACCGGGATCACGCCGGCCCACCCCTCATCTGCACTCCCCCACCGGTTTTCGATCTGTCTGCACACGTCAACGCATTTTCCGCGCCAGCTGCCAAGGTCCCCACAACCAGCGCCCGGCGAGCGCGCGGGGCCCAGCGGCGCCCAGCCCGCGGGTGGCTCCGCCTCCAACCGCCCCTACCGACTGGCCTATCGCCCCAACTCGAGCGGCCGCGCCCGGGGGCGCCGAATAGCGACGTCGCAGCAGGCCCCCGGGGTGGCATGTCGCCCATGGCCCCGAGCGTGCGGCTGCCGCCCCGGTTGCTGATCCGCGGCCCGCGGCGGCCGGGATGCGATGTGGGGACGCGCGTCGGAGGCGCACATCCGCGACTGGCGCGTCGGGAGGGAGTGGTCCGGAGGAAGAAGGTGCGACCTGCATTGCATGGGAGCAATTCAACGGTCCCTGCTTTTCTGCGTTTTGGAATTATGAGGGCGACTTGGGGTTCGGGGTGGAGGGAGAAGGACTGGTGGAGGACGAGAGGATGGTGCGATCAGCGGGCCCTTGGCACCGGGGCTGAAGATCGGGGGGATAGCAACGAGCACTGCCTTCCTCGCGCTGTTCCCGATTGGAGCAGGGGGACAAAGCGTCCGTGAAGGGTAATGAGACCCAGAGCTCGACATTTTGTGCGTCGGCTTGCTGATCAGATCTTATCGACAGCCCATGGAAGCCACCGCCCCGGCGGGCTTGTCCGCATCGCCGATTGACTCCGTCGCCGAATTGAGCGACCTGTCAATGCGTTGGAGATGGGCTTGAGTGTTTGCACAGGATTATCAATGCTGTCTCTCAGAAAAGTTAACAAGGAAATCCAGTAAATTGGTATGCATTGCTTTGTTGTGGGAACACCTTGTGTTGCTGAGCTGTTCCGGTGCTTTTCCCTTTTGGTAATTTGCCCAATGCTATGATCAGGGCATTGTCAATGGTGGGGTCTTGTACAGGGCGTGTGACGACCCACACACTGTTTGTGGTTGTAGGCAGCAGTGAAAGCTGAAAATGTGGAAGATGGGGCCACTAACTCTGCCGATGCCGGAGACTCACGGCCAACTCGTCCAACCGAGGATGAACCCTACCCATTGCCAGAGGATGCCCCCGAGGAGAAGCGGAAACGGGTGGCGTATTTCCATGCAGCAAAGTCTGGAAAACGAGAAGTGGAAGAAGGGGAAAGGCAGCTCGGTGAGGACTAGTGGCTTGAAGACGCTGCAGGGAGTGAGAGCCATGCGTTGTGTGGGAGAAGAGAAGTGGCCGCACAGAGAGCACATGATATCGTGGACAAGATGTGTTGCGACTCTGGCACATTGTGAAGATGGCATTGGAGGTTCTGACGGAAGCAAAAACAACTTGCGTCAGCGCACAACACGATTAGCATGTTGCATATGCACATGGGGCAGTGTGTGAGATTATTTGTGCTTTGTTAGCTTGTGTGCTGTTCTGCCTTCTTTGCAGTCTTTGCTTTGTAGCTCTCTGCAGACACACTTCCAGCTCAAGAGTACCACATTGCCACTATCAAACCATTTCCCTTAAAGGCCAGCCTCATTGAGGAGTCCACATCAGGAACTGCCCAGTCCCAGACTGTAGTTATCATGCTGCCTAGCCTGTAGGGGTTGTCTGTCAAGAGTGCCTCCTTATTGGTGCCATCTACATCAGCTCACCTCACTTTCAAGGAGCTAATTCACTTGCAGGCGTCAAAGACAATCAGGAGTGCAGCTGTGGTGCATTGGGAACCTCTTCCCTGTGTGTGGTTCATGTGTGTCAGCACATTGAACAATGTTTGTGGCAATTTGATTCCAACCCATTGATTCACAGTGCAGCCTTGTCTTGAATGAAAATGGGATCCTTTCATGCATCGAAGTGACAGCTTGTGGGTGTGATCTGAGTGTGATTTGGCTTTGCATCCAGACTGTTCTCTGCTTTCTCCTCCCAGCATTGAGGGGTAGTGCTGACCATGGTGCTTGGGCATGTGGCAGCCGACTACATGGCGCTCCCTCTCAGCCAGTACTCTGTGTTGGATGCCAAGCGGGTGGAGAGGTTGGACGAGAGCACGTTCAAGTGCTATGTCAGTGGCTTCAGATTCTTTGGCTTTGTTGTTGAGCCGATCGTGACTGTCGATGTCAAGACAAGCAACCGAGGTTGCTTCATCAGGATGCTGGACTGTGAGGTGGGCGTGTGCAATTGTTCAGTAACAGTTGAGCGCAGATGCGCAGAAATTATTCAGCTATTTTGCATTCTTTCTGATTCTGATGCCAACCATCACAGCCCCATTGCTGGTTATGTGTTTAGGTTATTTAGCAGGCTCTTTTGGTTGACAGGTCATTGTGGCTAAAGCTATGCAGAGTTATTGAGCTGTTGAATTAGTGCAGTGCCTGCAGGGTGCCCATCCCACAAACCAGCTGTGATGCAGTCAGCATGTCTTGAAGAGCGAGAACAGCTGTCGATTGCTGTTCAGACATTTTTTGAGGCAGTTCATGCATTCTTTTCCTACTAGAACTGCCAAAGACAGTCAACAGAGGAGATCACAGCCCCATGTCCCCCCCGTTCTCCTAGGAGACACTAGGGGAGGGATGTGGGCAGGCAGTGACACCAGACCCACAATGGTTAAAAGCTGGATCCCTGTTAAGGGGGACAATCTCGTACATATCACTCCCTCATGTTGGCTGCACTTCCGTTATCTCCAAGAAACTGGAGCAGCACTGCCACAGCATCCCTGCCTGGTGCTTGCCTATCTGTTCTACGTATTACCCACATACGTGCACAGGGACACAGACCGTTTCGAATCTACGAAGGTCAGAGCTCCTATGTGGAATCTGGGACAAGAATTTGTGGATGAGTGCATACACTTCGCGGTCATTTAGATGCAAGGTTGTGCTGTTCAAGTGGATGGGTTCCAAGGGACCATGCACATCTCCGTTGTCTGCCTTCTGCAGTTGGATGGGTCCAGTATGGTGAAGGCCGCGAACGAGGCTTTTGATGCGCGGATGAGTAACAATGTCACCTGGGAGCAGGAAGGAGATCAGAAGCGCCTGTTGGCAGACACAGAGGTCAAGGTTGCCATCTTGATCCCAAAGGCATTCGCCCTGACTCCTGTGTCGCTGGTGGAGAGCGTCGGCAATGCCATCATGGGACAGGTCCTGAGGATTGCAGTGCCTCGGTTCTTGAGGCAGCTGGACAAGGATTACACAATTTGGGCGGCTGGAGACGACTCTCGGAAACCCGTGGAGGTATGACATGGATCGTGTGGCGCTGTGGCCCACTTGTACAAATTCTGTTGTAAAGTGCGTTTGTGTCGTTCCAATGGTGCCAATACTGGTGTGTCAAGGCGACAGGATTGTGGACTGGACGAAGGTGAGACCTGCTTTTTTTGCGTTCCCCTTTTGAGGGAAAAGAAATGCCTTGCATCGTTTGGGTGCTACGATGTGCACTCTGCTGATTGTCCACAAGATGCCCAAAAGGAGTTTGCATCAAGAGTTCACCTGAATATGCTGTTTCATATGAATCTTAGCATTGAATTGTACCGCAGTTGTTGTAGAGCGTGTTTGCCAAGGTGCGATGCTATCATGGGCCAAAAGTCAAGGTGCACATGCAGATGGGAGGACAGCAAGATACTAACTCACCACCACTGTATTGCCACAGCTGCTTGTCATAAGAGCCCACGCCTTTTCATGTCAACGCAGGCCAGCCACAACATTTGGTGGGGGAGGGCAAGTGCAAAATAATGCAAGCCATCGAGGCACATTCGCCCACAGGATCTGTCTTCTCCCACCATACAAAATTCTGTGTAATCCAACACGTACCCTGCAACTGGCCATAGTGCCACAATGCAATAATGCCATAGTGACATCATGACACAATGCCAGGATGCCACAAACACTTGAGTCTTACAAGAATGTCAAGGAGATCAGTGTGTTGTGCACAATAGCGAGGTCCACAAACTATTCTTGCCTGTCTCTACCAAGGAATTGAGCATATCCTATTTGCCCAATGAGCCGCTGTCCACAGGACAGCAAGGTCATATCCAGCTGCCACACATCGACGTGGCACAAGGGCTCGTGCACAATGCCCATCTGCCCCAGCACTGCTGCCAAACTGCAGTTCGATCCCCACAGAACTGCTGGGCACACACATAACCAACCAAATCCCTATTGCCCCTCATTTTCAGTGCTGGCAAACAGGTCTGTTATTCTGCAGCAGTCGCAGACCTTCTAGCCTTGATCCAAACATGTGGGCAGGGACCATGGAAGGGACTGCTGCTGTGATCGAATAGCTGCCAGGCACACTGGTTGCTGCCTTTGTGCTGTTCCTACTCATCTTCAGTCTCCTTCCAGCTGGCTTCAACCACCTCCTGGACCCTCTTGTTGTATTCTCGCCTGGCCAATGGTAACATCAGCTGTGATTAGGGCTGTTCTGTGAAAATGTGGGGACGACATAGACATGGATGGGAACTGCAGCCAGTACTGACCAGTGTGGGCAAGGGTGGCGATTCACCACCTTCGTCAGTGACCTATTTTGCACCAAGCACAAGCACGTTGCAATGCACTTGCATAATCCAATATCAACTCCCATTCAGACAATTTTCCCACCAGTGAAAGAAGCAAACTTTGCATCTCCATGGTGTCCAAGAAAAGCCAACATGAACACCCACAAAAACAAGAATAGCTCATCCACCCCTGCTCGTAAACTCTGTGCTACACAATCACTGCTCACAGGTGAGGTTGGAATGAGCGCACCAGCAAACAGTGCAAGGAACAGGAAAAAAGCGTGCCAGCACACCATGACTTTTTGGCAGGGAAGCAATTTAAGCTCTGCATACAGGACATGCTGTGGCACCTGTGCACACAGTGCACAGAATACACAACACAGGCATGTGCCCTTGTGCAGCTACACACAGCTAACATTTTGGAGATTTACAGTTTGTTCCACAAGACAAAGCAGGCCCTGCAGCCCCCTGGCAATGTGCACTTCAAAAGCACTTGTCTGTCCATCAATCATTCACTTCAATGAATTAATGAACGAATGTCGTGCAGTAGCGGATGCTGAATACACGCATCTTGCTGATAGCTGCTCGTTGGAGTGTGCTTCCCATTGTTCGTTCTGAAACTCGTAAATTAACTCTCACCTAGAGACACAGGGCCCCAAAAACTACAGGTCATAAATGGGGACCTTGTGTCTCCTGATCCTTCATCAAGGACATTTGCAGCACTCACAATCCCGGGGAGTGTGTTATCCGGCAACCAGAAATGCAAGCCAAGCCACCAGCTCACCTGCTCTCACTGTAGAGACTGGCAGCATCAGAGTTCGCTGGAGAGTTCGGGTTGGGGTCACACAGCAGTGACTGCAGGACAGAGATTCAGTCACTTACACACCAAGGGACAACCTGCTTCCATGAAAAGCTCCACTTCCACAGATGCCTTGCCCCATCGACCACAAAATGAACACATACATATTGCAACACTGATGCTGTGACCTGTCGCTGTGATCAACCCCAGTAACCAACCCCACGTTTCTGTTGCTTCCCTTTATCAGCCCAAACCATTTGAGCAGTCTTGGGCATGAGATTGGAAGCCAAGCGATTCAGCCACAGCACAACTGGAGGGCAGCTTGTTGACATCGATCAGCAGAAGCTTAAACAGCAGTTGTCTCGAGGCCCCCCTTTCAATACCTCAACTGTTTCAAGAACCTGGATTCACATCATCTATATGGGCCCAGCCTGTCCTGAGAAACCAGGAAATTATTGGGCCTTTATGCCCAGAGTCTGGGGAGTGGCTGCTTTTAACCTCCTCGCCATCTGATGCATAGGCAACAACACTACACTTGCCTGAATTGAGGTCAGTACCGCGCTGACGTCGTAGATTGGGCTCCACTGGTTCTGCAAGATGTCCAGACAGATGCTCCCATCGTTGTAGACTACGACAGCCAAGGCAAGGCACCTTCAGGACGGCAGCCCACGCAAAGTGCACGGATCAGGAATTCTGAGCGAGCGCGGTGGCAGGTGGCCACGGCGGGCACACGGCAAGCGCTGTCGCGACGCCGGTGGCGTCACCCGTAACTCACTGTTGGGATGGAACATTTTCGACTTGAACTTCACCGTGGGGGGCTTGTTGGGATACTCCTCTGAGAATTCCATGGTGAGCTTGAACGTCCCTGCACCCGCACATGCCCGATAATGCCGCTTCCACCCCCACCACCCCACACACACACACAGCTTCGCCCCCGCCTCCCTGCTGCCTACCTCCGTCCCAGGGTGTGTCCTCCGGCCCAAAAATCACGGCCTCCCAGGACATCATGTTGTCAGGGTTGGGCGAACCATTCACCCCCTGAGGCGGATCCTGCTGCAGCCTCTTGTAGTCCCTCACCAGGCGCTGCTCAAACAAGGGCAGGAGAAAACACTCATCGCGGAGAAAGCCGAGACGCATGTCGTGCGATCCGCTGGTCCTTCGCAACTGAACATACGGCGGCCATTCGTTCCGCACTGCAAAAGAGGCGGCGGCTTCGGGAGGCAGAGTGGGGCTGGGGGAGCTGCTCGAAGGGACAGGCGCACGGAACGGACAGGGCACAGGGTCGGCCAACTGGGACAGGGAGGCAGCAGGAGGTTGGAGGGGTGTTCTGACGGCGATACCTTTCTGGCCGCGGTGGACATGGAGCGCCGGGCTTGACGGGAGGGGGCGCCGCTTGCGGGGTGGGGGGTGCTCGATTCGTGGTGGCCTCGGGGTGTAGCAGCCCGCGGGGCGCGCGTCTTCCAGAAGGATGGCGGTGCGGGAAGGGGCAAGACCCGCGATGCCAGGGTGTCCTGGGTGTCGTGGCTTTTTTTCTAGGGCAGGGTCAACGGTGTGGGACGACTTGGAAAGGTGTTGGTTGCCGTAATGGCGGTAAATGAGGGGATTGACGCTGGTGGAAATGGAGACGCGAAGCGGGCGAAATGAAGTGGGGGCCACGGACAGTCGCCCAGAGAGGGTTCATTGCTCGTGCAATATAGGAAGCTGACGGCTACCTTCTTGCTGTGCAAGAAATCGTGATGACGAAAGCGGTGCCCTGTGAGCCACGCTGCTCTTTTTCGCGTGCTCTTCAGAAGGCGCTTGTTGTTGAGAATGCGTCTCAATGTGTAATGGTTGACCATCACGCTGACGAGGACAGGCAGGATCGAGGGGTGGCGATCCCTGAACGGGGATCGTACGCTCGAGTCCATGGCAACGGTTCACAGCCGAGGCAAAGGGACGACAGGAGTTCTGTCCCTTCAGTCCGTTCATCAACGCCCTTAATGCAATTCCCAGTGCCTCATCATCTCTTTTTATGCATTCACTTGTTAATAATATTCAATCAGTTCTAGTTTCAACAACGAGACCACCTCTTGTGCTGACGGCCTCCTGCCACATGCAAACTGCTGAAACCCCCCCTGCCTGTGTGAAGCCAAACGTCACGCCGTTCTTTTCGCAACAGTGACCGTGGCAAAGGCGCCACGAGCGAACCGCAGGTGACGCAAAGGCCAGCACTTCGCCACCGCCACTTCCAGACAAACTTTGAGTGTTCTGATAAAGATTGGATCAGCGAATCTCGATCAGAGGCCCCCCCTGCAGCCTTCCCTGTGCCATCGGCACCCGCGCCCGGAGGGGCCTGCGGGGCCCGGGGCCCGGGGCCCGGAGGGCGGCGCCTGCGCACAGAGCTATCCCAGCGACAGACAGCCTACTGCGGTCGCGCTGCCTTCGCCACCCTCGACCGTCGCGACCGCCGCTTCCGCCAGCACGGGGCGCGCTATCCCCGCACGCCCCCAGAATCGCAAATGAAATGCACCTCACCCGCCGACTGAGGGACAGCCATCCCGTCCGGTAACCCGGTGGCGCCGACAGGGCGCTTTCCGCCACAGAACAGGCCGCCCGATCGCCCCTGCGCCCCGCGCACACTCAACGCAAGCTGTCCGCCCTTGCGCTCGCAAGGAACACGGTCCCACACCCGTTCCCCCCCGCCAGCAACCCAGCGCCACCGCTGGCCCGCCTTTTCCCCAAACCGAATCACCTCAAGGGGCGCCCCCGGCGCTTTTGACACACGCCTCGACCGCCATGCCCGACCTGCGGGCAGGCGCGCTGCCTCAGGAGCACTTCGCGGCGACGTGGAGGCGGGGGGCACCAGGCCGCCCGGCGCGACCCAATTGAGCGGAGGGGGCGGTCCAGGTGGGCCCCACGCCAGCGCAATCCCGGCTGCCTGCCCAAACTCTTCGCCCGGGATGGAGCCCACAGTCAGACAGTAAGCCCCGGGGTGCGTGCCACAGGACGCGTCAAGGCGCGGGGCATTACTGAGCTGTTGGGACGCTTGTGGGCGGACGAGATCTGGAGCGCGGCTACGTCGGGCGCACGACCGCTGGGGCAGAGCACGCGCCTGTGGGTCGCGGCGCGCAGGGCGGAGCGGCGGCACCGATCCAGGACGGCTGGCGGGCGTCGATCGCAGCGGGCCGGCCAGGCCAGGGCGCACCCGGGGACTCCCGCCCTTGGGATGGTTCCACGTGGCCCGGGGGTGCGGACATGAGCGCATACGACGGGGAGCGCCTGGGCCTCGAGTGTGACGTCGTCGGGAAGGCGATCGGAGAGGTGGGGCGGGGGGTGGGCGGGGGGGCTGGGACGGGACTCGGCGCTGAAGGGCTTGGCTGGCTCGCTCGGAGCGAGGCCCTGTTTGCGGGCTGTGGCACGTCGGCGGAGTTGACCTACTTCGGGTTCATGTGCGCCTGACAGGCGATCATGCTGCGGCCCGGCGGGTGGCCGGGCGCGGCGCACGCCGGGGGGGCCGATCCGGACCTGGGCGGCGGCCCCCTGTTGGAGGAGCAGGGCGTGCTTTCGAAGAGGAGCGCGGCGTTCGAAGGTGGGCCGGGGAGGGACGTGGCCGCTCATGGGAGCCCACAAGGTCGGCTGCACCGCCCGCGTGGCGGCCGGCACCGGGGTGGGCGAGGCGCTCTCGAGCGTCGCGGCTCAGGCGGGCGGGCGGCGACAGCGCTGGGCGCCCTTCCGCGCGGATCTGCGCGAATGCAGCCCGCCGTTTCTGATCTCGTGTCTGGGCCATGTTCGCAGGTGCCTTCCTGCTGTCAAGCGCGGCGGGGTGCGCTCCAGAGGTGCGACCGGTCGTCGCCTCCCCTTCTCCCCGCGCAGGCTCCTCCCTGCCGCCTCGCCTGGGCCTCATTGTCGCCCTGCTCGGCAGCGCGCGCCGCGTTTCCCAGCCCCACCCCAACACCCCCCCCGCCCCCCTTTGCCGTTTGGCCCCAAGGCTATACCCCTCTCCAATCCAAAATCCCCCCCCCCCTGCGCCATTCCTGTCCCCAGTTCTCCCCCCTGGGCCCCAGACCGACGATTCAATCTCTCACCCAGCCTCCGGATCCGCTCCTCGCAGGCGCTGCCCCCGATTCAGCCCTCCAACTCCGAGAACCTGACGTCCTGCATGGCTGACCTCGTGCTTGCCCCCTGCGATCTCCCTGCCGCCCAGCCCGCCCCCGACCACCGGGACGCGTCCCAGCCCAAGCTCGAGCTCATCCACATCCCGGACGGCGCCTGCGCGGCTCCCATGCAGCCCTGCACCGACCCCCACCCCCCCACCTTCATCGATTTCGAGATGGGCGCCGCGAACATGTTCTACGCGGACCAGGACCCGCATGCGGGGGTCCTCTTCGGCGAGGACGAGCTGAGGGAGCCCGACTTCGACGGCGCCGTGCCTTCCCTGCTGTCCGCGGACGCCTGGCCCGGCTCGGCCCGCTGCCACGACTTGGCGTCCTCTGCGCCCGATCGGACGTCGCCGCTGCTCTTCTCCAAACCTTCGGAGCAGGCATTCGGCGGCGCAGAGAGGGTAATCGTTCCCCGGGAGCCCCTGGAGTGGGTCTCCTCGGAGATCGGAGGTCGCGGGATGGCAATGTACGGCGGCAGTGTTGGCGTGACTTCTGGCGGGGGCCTGTTCCCGCTGGAGGGGCCGAACGTGGAGAATGATGAGGAGCCGGCGCCCAGTTCGTCGCTGGAAGAGGCGGCGTTCGCCTGGGTGCCCAGCGCGGGGCTGGACGCCGCCCGCAGGCTGCCATCCGAGAGCACCTCGTCGATCGTGGCTGTGGAGAGCGAGATGCAGTTTTTGGACGACTGCGACGGGATGATGGAGGAGGGCGGGGAGGGGTTTGAGGGCGGAGCCAAGGCGGAGGAGGGATTCAGCAATGGGCCCATTTCGCCGGGGAGGGCCAATGGGAGGGGATGCAGGAGGAGGGTGCACCCCGTGGGCAAGTTCGCCGGGGAGGAGGTGTGCTGGACGCCCGACGACACCGAGGGCAGCGACGGGGGATGCGGACGGGAGCGGGCCAGGCGGAGCAGGGCGCCCGGGAGGGCGGGGGCGCGGCCCGGGCGGCCACGGCCGCGGGGCTTCGGGCGGAGGAACAGCTGGGCAAGCGGTGCGTCTGGTGCCTTGGAGGCCATCAACAAGCGGAGGAAGCAGCACAACCCATGGTGCGCTGGTTAGTGGACTGAATGTCAAGATGCTCGTTGCAGTGGTATCGAGGCAACTCAATCCCTGCTGATCTCCGCAAGTGCGTTGTAACTGGAGCCTGGGACATAGCAGTGTCGAACAGCAAGTGTGCCATTTAGTGCCAGGCAAAGCATTCCCAATGGCGAGTGCAGGCGGATGGGATGCCGTGTGGCCGAGATAAGCGGAAAGGGAGGGCAGGCGGCATGTGTTGATCGACTCCTGTCGGGGTTCGCCGCTGCCCAGCACCTGTGTGCTGTTACAGCAGCAAAATGTGCACAAACGGGTAGGGCTGTGGGTGGAGGGGGGTGGGGTTGGTGGCGGAGGTGGGGAAATAAACACACTGGGCAGTTGCATAGACAAGATGCACATGTAGCCCTTTCCTTGACAAGAGCATAGTTTCACTGCAATGACCTTTCGCTTTGACACTGTGCAGTGGACCTCAGATGCTAACTTCAACCCTAACATGAATGCTATGATATCTGGGACAGCCTGTATCAGACTCATTTGCAACATCGCACTGCAGGTGTGGGGTTTGCTTGTAGTCGCTCCTCAACAAATGCAATCATGGGATACATCTGTAATTGCTGCAAACTGCCAAGATCGTGATGCGTATTGATCTGCGACACCAAAGGCAATTTGCCACACTCAAGGGCAGTCGGCATCATCGGCCACAGCACAGAGCAATTACTCTGGAAACTCCAGGAACATTGTTTCACAGAGGTCCCTTGTTGTTGTGAAGACGGTCTTCATACAAGGGTTGATGCTGGGGAAAGGACTGTACCATCAGCAGCCAGGAAAAGGGGCTTGTCAGGCAGCATGTGGTGATTACATTGCTGTGCGATGGTCTGCTTTGCTTTGGTCAGGTCGCTGGAAGAAACCAAGACTCTTGTGAAAGGAGTGGAGATCTGCGGCGGGGGGAAGTGGGCAGATATCAAACGCCTTGGCTTCCAGGAAATTGGCAGCCGCAGTCCGGTTGATCTGAAGGACAAATGGCGAAATTTGCTGCGCGTGGCGCTGCTCCCTTTGGAGCAGATAAAATTGAAGAAGGTGAACTTGTGCTCTTGGGCTCAGACTTGTGTTGCTTTTTGCAGTCGGTTTAGCTGTTGGAATGCTGAGTTACAGAAAGTTGGATAATATCCTGGGACACAATCAGTGCTTGCATCGCCCAAGTGAAGCAAGGCAGTATTGTGTCAACTGGGACAACGTAAACGAATTGCAACAGCAAGATGTGGACGATGCATGGTGCCAACTCATCTCTGTAGTTTGGTTGGCTGTGCGCAATGCGCCGTTCAACAGTTGCGTGTGTTGGGATAAACACTGTCAGTTTGTAATTGGAATGCCCCACATTAGAGACCACAATGTATGGCAGCCTGCCTCAAACCTGCTTATCCCCCACTCGATGGCTTCTTGCGTGCGCAAGGAGACACTCCTGCTAGTTTTTAGTTTCCATTGTGGTTTCTCTTGTTTGTTCTGCAACACTCAGCACAGAGGCCATTCAGGGCTGTGCTAGAAAAAACCAGTGCCGTAGAAATGTTGAATCCAGTTTGGTGCCTCCAGCAGAATGGGGCAGAATCCCTTGCTGAAACAACAGGAGGATGCTCGAAGTTATTGCCTTTAGGACAGTTCACTTCTAGCACTGCAACTGAAGAGAACAATGCTTGTATATTAGGTGGCAGGAAAGCCTTGACATGATGCCAAATGCCAAACAGTGTTGCTCAGTAACACCTTTGATTGGAAGCACAGTGCTCAAGCAGCCATGTTTTGCCAAATGTGTGCAGTGAAATGGATCCCAGTACTACCCCAATCGGTGAGGCCTGTGAGGTCGTTCACCAATACTGTTGTGATAGATGGAGTGAATTGTGGTGCTCTGAGGGGCAAATGTTGAGACTAGACAACAGCCCCCAATGAACAAACTACAGTGCTCAGGTTTGTGTCTCTGCTACTCAGGTGGACAACCGCCACAACCTTCCCATGGAGCTCCTAAATCGTGTCAAGGAGTTGGCCCAAGACAAAGACAAGTCCCCCAGAACAGCACAAATGCAGTCAGGCAAGCTCTGACACCAGGACAAGTGCTGAACCAAGATGCCGAATCGATCCCATTGGTCGATCGGCGATGGGCAGGGGAGCCTGGCGATACGATATGTTCATGTGCCTGCACAAGCAGAGCTGCATGTGTGTATGACTGTGGGAGGGGGGAAAGGTTGTGTTTTTTTGTGCTGTGCTTGCATGTTTCGCACGGGGTGATGGTGACTGGCTTCGTGTGCAAGCCTGCTTCTCTCTGGTGGAGACAACAGCTGTCCGGAAGTGCATGATTGGGCATCTGGATGTGTGGTTGACAGTGTCTGGTACAAGGTGGTGGCTTTGAAGCAGGATGGGCGCCAGCTTGCACGATATGCACTGGAGCTTGCTTGGTGCAGGGGGCAATTCTCCACAGTCGTATCGGCGTTGTGCTGTGTTTATGCAGTATTCTGCTCAGGCACCATGGTGCTGTCACAGGAATTGAGCCAACTGATATCCTGAAAGGGAAAGGTGGAGCCTAGCCGTCGTGGTGTGACGTTATGCTGACGGATACTTAGCAGTTCATCTGCACCCTGCACCATACAGAGCACGTTTGCCGGAGCTTAGCCATGGAACACAGCATGGAGCTTGCTAGCTGCCCTCTGTGTTCCTGATTTCTTGATTTTCTAACCCTGGACCCTGACAGCAGCGCTGCTGTGCTGCTGGATGTGAAGCCAAGTAATGCCAGAAGCCAGCGAGACTTTTTTCCACTTTGAAGCCGACTGTCGGGGACAGATCAATTTTGGGTGGAACCAAACAGGTGTAACGTGTTAAAAATGTAACATTGTACGATGGGGAATCGATGGGGGATTCATTAGCAAGGTGGCCCAGATGCAGTGGATTTGAACACTGGACCTCCTTGGCCTCAAGACGGAACTTGCGCAGTCATGGGATAGTAGAAGTTTGTGCTGAGGCGCGCAAGCTGGAGGCAAGACATGGATCATAGGGTAGGGATGAGTAGCAGGTTGTGTGAGGCAACGGGAAGCTGCCTTGGGAACTGTGTGGTTTCAACACACTGGGCTATTAACGAAACTGAGGAGGTGCACTTTTTGGCTGCACTGGCACAAGAACACGCAAGTTTTGTGTTGCTTTTTCTGCGGGAGTTGATGCCTCTTGTAGATAGAAGGGATAGCAGATGGAGATGGGAGTTTTCCGACCTCTCATCAGCTATGGTGAGACGCCGGCGCTGTAATGTGTGGGTTTTCTATGCAGGAGAACATTCTGCATTATTGACATGAAGTGGCGCCTTTGTTGTATCTTCTTTTTGTTCCGTAGGGGGCGCCATGACAGGGGATGCGAGCCTGCAGTGCCCCTTATTAGGGAATTCGGGGTGGCAGAGGGTCTCAATGCACGACCCCATATCCTGCGTTTTTTTTTTGCAGCGGTGCTACGTTTGTCTGCACCCTTGATGAGACCACCTGGGCAGTGCGGGCGCACAGCCCCTGAAGACGGGGCGGGGGGGAGAGGGGAACGAAGAGGCAGTGCGGCAATCATTAAACGGACGATCTCTGGATGTGTCTGGATGGAATGCGCTCAAGCGAACTTTGGGTTGATGGAATGTGTGGGTGTGCCGTCTTTTAGTTTGGGGTGACTGCCGGCGAGCTCACTGGTGCGCACGCGGGTTTGGCAGTAATGGAGACTTCGGGCTTAGCCTCAGCGAACGAGCTCGCCGGTTTTCTTCTGTTTTCCTGTGTTTTATGCTGACTTTCACGCACGCACGCACACTGCTGTTGCGCCGCCCTGGGCCGTGTCACGACGCCCCGTTGGCAGTGTACGGCATCGTACAGCAACGGGTAACGTCCTGGGTGCTTCCGTTGCCAGGCACCAGACCTGGGCAAATGGCGACGGTTGTGCCAGAACGCGTGTTGATTGCGCCTGCTTTGGGCGGGGGTTTGCCAACAAGGAGGCGGCAGGCCACTCGTTGGATGCCGAGTGGTTCTAGATGCCATTTGATTGCCTACATGCACGGGTTGAAACATGTCCAGGCCCGGTGAGGCAATGAGCGCACTCCAGTGGATCGCTTGCGCCATTGCCAAGGTATCCTCCGATTGTGAGGCTCGCCAAGGAACTGCGACCCCGGATATCGTTCCTGTTCTTTCTCAACGCCTGCAGGGTGTCTGCGCCCACCAACACGCTCCACCCACCGAGCAAGAACAGGTGAAGAAGCGGATGCCGTGCTGGTGCACAGACTACATATTGCACGGGGGGCTGCGACATCTGCCCGTTCTTTTGCTGCCCATGCGATGGGCTCCCCATCAATGCCGACCATTTACAACACACGTCACTGAACATCCACTCAGACAGGAGCGTTGGTCATGCAGCGCCGGAGTGCCATGGTAACCCGCAAAACCTCTCAGCTCATCGCTGTTCCCACCGCCACCAATGAGAAGCGGTTCAGTACTGGTGTGGCTGCCCCACGTCGAGTTGCAGGCTCACGACTCGCATCTTGACGTCCGGGCCTCCCCTGAGGCCCGCCACATATCGGAGCCTCCTTGGCATGCACTGGCCCTTGTTGAAGGGCGTCTGCACCGAGGCCGCCTTGGGCCTCCACACCTGCGTGTTGCCGTCGCGCCGGAAGTGGCTGAGGTGCGTCTGGCATGAATGGGTGGCTTTCCCGCGCAGATTCGCCAGCTCCAGTGCCCTGCGCACACCCAGTTTGCGGCTTGCTGATTGTGCATTCAACAGCTTCGTCTACCTTTTTGAAAATCCGTTGCGATTACATTTGCCAAAAACATGGCAAAGCAAGCCCTAACACCAAGCTGGCGATGCCGGACAGTGTTCCCAGAAAACAGCATGCAATTCAGTCCGTGCTAATTTCGTCTAATTTAGTACAAAATATTGTGCACACCGGCCCAAGATGGCTCAACACGCAACGACGGGATGCCCATTGCGTGACACACCTGCATTCCGCTAAAAACAGTAAGGGGAGACATTATGTCGATTTTGATACGCTTAGCGTCAAATTGACGGGAGGGGGAGGTGGGGGGCCCAGACCTGTGACGCTGAGAGATTATACGATTGACACAAAATCGACATAAGGAGGGAAGGCGCCCAAAAGCGCCGTTGATAAGCGGCAAACAACCCTGTGAATTGTTCCTGAACCTCTTGCGAGTGTTTGATCTGCAAAGAAGGCCTTACAATGAATCAATTCGCAGCCATTGAAGCAGCTTGCATGGCCCGTAACGGCATTTAGAATCGACATAGCGCCTTCCCTAATTTGCTTCGGTGGCGTCCCGGCCGTCAACAATTCACTGGCAATAGGCGCACATTTTGCAATTGCCTTGACCATGTTTGTCCGGGCGAAGTTCTCGAAATGCACGTATCACGACGTTTGTCGGGTGTCATGTGTTCTTGCACTGTGCATGTCCACAGTGCAGCGTGCATTGTGCACCATGATGTGCTGCGCACTGGGACAGTTCCCAATTGCTCTAGGACGGCTGTGTTTTGGGTCCGTTTTCATTGCGACACAACTGGCGTTGTACCCAAGACAGTGGGACGCCGGCTCCCACCGTATGGGGATTTACGAGCTAGGAGTTAGGGGCAGCATGACCCTGGAATCGCATCCTGTGTTCGCTCGGCGGAACCAAACTTCCTTGTCAGGGAAGCGGGCAGATTTCCTTTCCAAGTTTCTCTTTCCCTTCGCCAGCCGCTTGTATGCTTGCAGGCAGGCTGCAGCGGACAATCGAGCGGGTGAGGGCCAGAATGACATCTTGGATGCTAAACCTTCGCAGGCTCGTCAGCGCCAGGAATGCGCAGCGGCACGCTTGGCCTTTTGGAACCAGGGGTTCAGCCCCACCTCCTTCGAAGCGCCCAGACATTCCATTCGTAGTCGACGTCGATGTGGCACTCTTCAAAGTGGGTGGGCGTCTGGATGCCGAAGTCGCAAGACAGCCGCTCGCGCGTGATGGAGGTGACGTTGCTGACGTTGGCCCAGGGCAGGGTGGCCAACAGCCCTAGCAGCTTCGCCAGGAAAGGCTCCTTTCTCACGGCGGCGGCGACGCCCTGCAGACGATGGCAGATTGCGGCAGACTGTGAGATTTGAAATCGATCAATATTATCACCCGTGAACGGGCTCGTGGGGAGCAACCTCGGCTCATGGTCCAGCCGTTTCTGCCTTACCGGTCTCCTGAACCCGCCCAGTCATGTTTGCTCACATGACAAGACACTTACAAAACTCTATAAAGAAGGTGCCCGTCACCGTTTGCTCAAAATACCCAAGGTCCCCTTACTTCACAATTTGCCCTTTCGCTTCTCACATACTTCACGCCACTTTTCTCCTGTGACTCAGCCCTGAGTCAGGCCCCAATCCAGTACCCGGTACTCCCTTCCACACCTTCACCCACCAGTGGGCGTGTGGTGGTGTCGCGCCAAAAAAAGGTGGGTGCGTGGAACTTGCTATTTCTGTGCGCGACAAGTGCACTCCCGGGATTCAGTTGTCCGGCTCCCTGCGATTGTTTGGTGCACAGCTGCACATCGCCACGCCGATCGGCCACGTCAGCATTCAGCCATTGACAAAACTCTGAGGATTATCAGCCATTTGTTATGAGAACGGGTGGCGCGTCACTTTTGCATGATGTTTGGGTGGCTGGACAATGCTCCGCCCAATTCGAGCTGGACCAAAATTCCGCACAAGCACAACAAACGCAGATGCGCCTCAGCAAATGTATAAACATGTGTTGCGTAACTTTGCGAAACAGTCGAAATGTTCTGGCGTCCCCATGAGTAGCGGCCAGTCTCCGTTTTCCAGTGCAAGAAGCTTGAGATACAACCCATGCACTAGCAGAAAAAGGACCAAGTAACACTTTCTGCGAACACACATATATCAAGAAAAGCATCCCTGGAAGCAAGTATCTCGTTGGGCAAATGCCCACTAAGCCATTTGTCAGCTCCAAATGCGGGCAAGCCAGTGCGGCGACCCCTACCGAACATAACACTTTTTGGACAAGTGTGTGTCAACCCTCAGTTCGACAGCATTTCCGACATGGCAAAGCGGAAGCCCATGCACCAAAACTAGTGATGGCGGGCAGCGGTCCCAAGCACACGTGTTTGTTCAAATCCACAATGTTTGCTGGAGGTCATGGCTGGACGGCCCAATGTGTCGCCGGACAAGTGGAAAAAGACTTAACAACTCCATGGCCCTTTGCTGGACGTCCTTGCTGAAAGGTCGCTCCATCCTCACCTTGCGGTATTCTCCCGGGCTCGCTGCAAACAGGTCCCTCGCTTTGGCGCTGGACAGCGTGAAGGTGGCGTCCCCGACCCTGACGCAGCCCAAGGAAGCGTCCCCGCGCCTCAGGAGGCCGCCCCGCCGCACCAGCGCCACGGGGCAGAAGCCCCTCAGGGCGAGCTCCTCGCGGGCGGGGGAGTCTGCAGGGGACACTCGCTGGGCGCCTGACACGGACTCCATGGCTTCGAGGTCGTCGGGGATGGCGGGGCCTTCGTAGTCCTCCAGGTCGGGGGCGTCAAAGTGCGGGGAGTCGTCGCCCACCTGCGGAGCATCCATATGTATCGCACATATCCGCACAGCATGTCTGGCCTTTCTTGATTTCAAACAGAGCATCACATTTCAGAGCACGTACGTCCTTGACGAGTTCAGGGGAGAGAAGGAGGCGATTTCACGGCGATGCGCTCTGGACTGCGGCTTCTCAAGCGTGAACGCACTAGTAAAAAATCGGTCATCTTACACGGTGCAAAACCATGTACTTTGTTTTGCCCAAGTACATCCATGTCGAATCGTGCAAAATCGCGTAAAAGTCGAGTATTTGGAGCCAGATTTTACATGGCTGCTGCTTAGTACACGGTCGAAATCGTGCGCCAACCGTGTTGCCCACTGTGCATTGACCGAAACGTGCACGACTGAGATTGCGGGATTGGGTTCGTTCCGGTGCTTGATGCATGACTGAGTGTCGACATGTCTGCAAAGTCCATATACACCCGGCGTGTACTACACGGATTTCAACGGCTGCCTTTGGACGTTGCCGTTGCCGTTGACTTCGCTTGCCGCAAAAAAGTGCCTATTCCAGGCAGCTTCTGCCCGCATGCGAATGGCGTTTAATCACCTAAATTGTGCGTTAACGGTGCAACGTCAAATTTTACCTAAGCGGGGCTTGAAATCCTATACAGACGTTGCTTACCGCAAAGAAAGTGTCCATTTCGTGCGGCTTACGTCAGCATGCCAACGGTCCGCCATCACAGAATATTGTGCGTTTATTGTATAGACTATGTATCAACGGGACAAACCATGCGTCCATTTTTGACCCTTTTCTTTCGTTCTACATTCGCCAATCGCGAAAGCAAGCTTCCGCGCCAGCGCATGCTGACCTGAAGGAAAGGGGATAATTCATCCAGGCGCCTCATCCAGTCTTCGAGGACTTCCAGGATGCGCTGCCGGGCGACGCCCAGGCGCTGCTCCCCGCAGGCCGCCAAGTGCACCTCGCCGAGCCTCTCAAACGCCGGGTACACGGATTCCTTGGAGACGACGGAATTCTCGCCCACGGTCTGCTGCAGCCCCTCCAGCAGTGTTCTCATCTCAATCTCCATTTCCGCCATGCTGTCCTATGAAAAGCACCGACCTTCGTTGGCACAGAACATGCCTGCGGGTCCACTCGTCCGACTGAGACCGCCAGAAGCTCACAGAGATCTGCCTTGCTTTTGCATTACCATGGCGGACTTCAGGCCGCGCAACACCCTTCGGGTGTGGCACGCCCTGTGTGTTTGCGCGACATGCATTCCTACCAACCGCTGAGCTCGCAAATTGAGGTATTTGCATGTGTACACAGGCTGATTGGCTTGGTTTAGTCATCCATAGTAGTTTTGGGAATGCATTCGCGCTTCAAGCTCCAGCCGGCCTAGACCAAGTGGGCCGCGAATTGAACTCATTGCACCAACAGCGTTTTCTGCGTTCATGTCTGGATGACCGCAAGGTAGAAGCAACCGCCTCTAAGGTGGGCCCTGCTGCATCGGGCAACAGGCTTCATTGGTGTATAGTCAGGTCTGCCTTTTGGTTTGGGGGGACTGGGGGAGGTGCTAGCCGAGGTTTCATTGCGGTATATGACACCAATACCTTCCACACATAGTGTTTAGTTTTGCTTGCAACTTTTTACCCGAGTTATACGTGATTTGCATGTTATATTACCCATTAATTTAATCATCTAATTCTTAATGTTTGCTAGTACATTGTTGTGCGTAGATGGCTCGAAAGGGCGCTTTGCGCATGCTTCGCGAGAGAGACTACGCAGGGCCGGCGACTCCGACTTTCACTGACTTCGATCGTTTCGATCACTGCTGCTGTATTGCGACAACAACTATTCGCCCATTGATTCCCTTTTTCATTTCGAATGCTGCCCCTCGATGCCGCTCGACGTCGAAGCTCAGCCAGACGATCGACGCGCCAGCCAGTCAGCCGTTCGCGACAACCCAATGTACGTATCAGCAAGCGTCATAACTGGCAAACATATTGAAGAAACAAATTAACATCAAAACAGATTTCAAAACTGACAGGAACAGATTTCACAACAGATTTAACTAACGGACGTTAAGCCAGCCGCGACACTTTCCGCCCGCTCAAACCAAGCGCGGTGCCCACAAGCGACCAGGCGATGCCGCCATCATCAGCGCGACTCACACGCCACGTGGCTCGAAAAAATACACAAGACGACCCAGCAACATGGAATCTATTGGATTTGAATTTTTTTTCTTATTTTTCTTATTTTCTTCTTGTGCCATTGAATAGAAGAATATCGCCGGCTCCCGGCCCCTCACCACCCCGCGCCCCGCGTCCGTGGCGATGTCCTCGCAAAACGCCTTCCCGTGCTCCACGCCGACCACCCCCAGCCGCAGCTCCTCGCGCCGATCCGCCGCCCCCTGGCCTCCGCCCTGTCCCACGGGCAGGGAATCCGCCTCCCCGTGCAGCCTTCCCAGCCGCTCCTCAAGGGCCCCCCCGATGTGTTCGACCTGGTCCGCCAGGCGCATGGCCGCTCCCAGGCCGCAGCCCGGTAGGGGGACGACGGGCGCCTTGGCGGCGCCGCGCGAGGCATTGAAGAGGCAGATGCCCAGGGACACGGCCGCGAGCATCTAGCACTGGCAGAAAGGAAATCCGCCAGGTCACGCGGTTTCATTCCGTGCTCCGACGCTGGTAGGCTCCAGACCTTTTCCACTAGCGAGTTTGAAGATTCACCGCTGACGATTTCGTGATTTCGGGATTGCTTTGTACTTGTGATTTTCGTTATGAAAACTGAAATATGACACATTATTTTACCATCGGTGGTGCAGTCGCTGCTGTGCATGTCACGCATCAGCAATGTGAGTCCAGACGGGCACAATCAAGTAATCTTCAGCGTGGTTTTGGCGACAGTTTACATCGGTGCAGGGCAGGACAGGTCAACCGTTTAAACACGCATGCTTTGAGGCAGGGAAAATCCTGTACCTTATGGTTCCGGGCTGTATGCACTGGTGCTGTGCGATACTACGGCGTGATGCATAAATTTATCGCGTATCATACTCATACGCCCAAAAAGATGCGTGCACCGTCTAGTCGGGCTTGGTGTACAAAGTTTGAGCCACAGTCACACAGCGGGTATGGGGGGGTTTGGGATACGGTGTGGTGGGGGTTCGGTTTGAGCTTAGCATTCGTTGTACGCTAATGTGCAGGATCCAAAATAGTATCCTCACTAATATTCTTCTCCTAATACATCTGAAGTATGCCTCTTACCTATTTGGCCCAAAAGATGTGTGCACCATAAAGTCGTGTTTGACGTTTAGAATTTGAGCCACAGCCCCATTTCGAGCAAAATTTGCAATGGCTCACTGGTTTGTAGCGCAACATTACCGTTTTTTTTTCCCTGGCATGCCGCATTATGCTCAATCGCCGACAAGCACGGATCACGAATGACAAACATATTTTGTACCAAATCGCCTGAAGGAATGATGTGCTGCTTGAGGTACACAGGCCACACGCCCCCTGCAAATACAGCGGGCACGTCCCCGCGATCCCCGTTTCAAGAGACTCTTTCACACGGCCCCCCACATTACTCAAATTTCAGAAGCAAATCTGTAAACAGACTTGCTTCTCTTCTGTGCCCTCGTGACAACGTGACGCTGACGAGCGGAAAAGGGCTCGACGCATTCTTGCATGGTGGAGCCCTCTTGTGTGGATGGGGATCGCGATATTGAGATACGCACAGATCGACACACTAGTCCATTTGCGGAATGCGCCGGTCCATGCAAGCACGCACCCGAACACCGCACCTGCAGCTGCTTGTGCTTCTCCACCTCCTCCATGGTCAGGAAGCAGGTAAGGGTGGAAAAGGGAAGCACGCTGTCGATGGCGGCTCGGACCTCCGCCACGCCGTCCTCTTGGAGCCCCACGGGTATTTGTGATTTCGCACACACGTATTCGTGAATCTGGTGGACAGAACGGCAAATGGGCGGCGGGGGAGTCAGAGCATGGCTGGGCTTTGTCGCGCCGATTCAACCATCAAGCAAGCAAGCAAGCGATCAATCCGTTGCGGCTACCATTGAGAGCTTCAGTTAAAACATGTGATATACAAACGCACGACGTCTGTTACGTTCTAGCCCCTTGGGGGGCATCACTACTATTATTCTAAAAGAAAACTGCATCCACGGTGCAATCGGCGGGGCTTCGGATCCGCTCTTGCGTCAACGAGGCTATGTTGGACGCCTTTTGTGCAATTTTCTGCAAATGGTGCCTTAGCATAAAAGCATCTTGTTGAAATGAAGCAATCAAATGAGTGCAAAAGAAATGGCAGGATCGAATTGGAAATTCGGGGACTGAAGCGCACATGCAGCATTGTACAAAACTATTAGAGAGCCCTGTTACAAAGGATGCACCGGTGCAGCTGACGCAGCGCGAGTGTGCACAAGATTGCGAGCACATGTCAACGGATCGCAACAGTCATGCACATCCTTCCAAAATCGCTGTAGCGTTATTAATGTTTAGGGCGCCCGGAACCGCCCCAAAACGCATAACCTGACGCTTTCCTAAAAGGCTGCGAAGCATCCGGACATCTTGTGCATGAACGGGCTCCATCTGATATGCTATCTGCCCTGGAAAAAATGATAGGATTGATAACGATGACCATTGTTTGAGAACCAGCTCTCAATCCCTCACCTTATCGTACAATTTCTTGTATTCGGCCGCAGAATGCTCCTTTACTGCCTTCGGAGCGCAAATTTCTGCCAGCAAACACACACCAAAAGAACTCGCTCTGTATTCCTCGAGCGGTGAGCATGAAGCGATCGACAATATTGCTGCGTGAAGCTTCTTGTGCGCGGCATCGCAGGAAACTCTCATTGGCATGGCTCATCATGTCATAAAGGCCACCACGATTCCTTGATGGACAGTTAAATTCAATCCAGGATATTGAGAAATCATCGTTCGCTCATCTGTTCCTCAATTGCAACCGATGCCAATCATCTGCAGCGAAATCCAAAGCACCAAACTGCACTTGCATTTTATGCATTTCGCTGACTGCAGGATCGCCAGCAATGCCAAGGATTGGAGTAAAACACCACCCTACCCGCTTCCAATTTGCGAACGACCTTCTCTCTGTCCCTTTGCTCCTGCTCCACAAGCTTCTCCTGGCGTTCGTACGCTTCCGCCATTTGCACCTGGGAGCAAGATCCTTTTCTTTAATTCCAAATGTATCAGCAAGATCTTATATTGTATGCCCAAGCGGAAATCCTTGTACGCGGAGGGGAAATGCGATTTCGTAAATCGACGTCAGAATCGTTGCATAAGAATCGGGCCCAGTGATAAGGGTTCACGGTACAAGCCCCCGGCTTGGCGTGGCGGACGCGCCGCCGGAGGGTGGCCGACGAGTAGGTGGGTGCGATGGCGATGGTGCGAGCGACACTCTCGCGGCTGCGAGTGCTACCCTCGCCGTGATGCGGAGCGCAACAGAGGTAGAGGTGCGGCTTTCTGCCGTCGTGCCCTTGGCGTGACAACACCCGCCCGTGCTCGTCCCATGGTTTTTTGGTGCAATCGTGCGGGCGCACGCGAGGCCGTGCAGCAATGGTGCAACTTCCGATCAACCAGAACGGGCAACCAAAACTTAAGTTGCCTTCCGCGTGTGGCTGTGCCGCGAAGCGGCTCTAGAGCCGCGCGACGGCGCTTAGCGATGGCCATCGGCGTGGCGATCGCTGCGCGGAATGTAATTGCCGCATCTTACGCCTTGCTTCCCAGGGCCAAGGGGCCCAGGGTTGGCACAAGGGAGGGTCATTCAGTTGTGGGTCAAGAGGGAATGTCGCGATCAGGAAGGGGGCAACAAGTCCCCCATCCAAGAGGGGGATTCCTTGGGAATGACGAGGCCAACAATCCTGCGATGCATTCTGGCGATGGTGGGGAATTCCCTCGCTGATGGCTGTAGCTTGGCGGGCGTCTCCGTGGAGTTTTTAGAGGTGCGCTCAAGGGCGGCTGACGGGAGGGGCGCGGCTATAGGTGTCGTGGCTGCGGCGCTCGGTGCCCTCTTGCGCTCGACGCGCGTCTTCCAACGCGATGCCGCGTCATTGCGGCGGCCACAGCCGATGGC